TTTGATTTGCATCTCTCTAATAGCTAATGATCGTGAGCATTTCTTCATATGTTTGTTGGCCACTTGAATATCCTCCTTGGTGAAGTATCTATTCATGTCTTCTGCCTATTTTTTAATTGGATTGTCTGTCTTTTTGTTATTGAGGTGTTGTAGTTTTCTATAAATTCTAGAGATGAGTCCCTCGTCAGATATGTCATTACCAAATATTTTTTCCCAATCTGTAGGTTCTCTTTCGACTCTTTTGGAGAAGTCTTTGGAAACACAAAAATTAATTTTTAGAAGGTATTTTTAGTGGTTATCTTGAAAGACACAGTCAAACGTTATTAACTTGAACGTAAAGCTGATAATCTTAGAATCCAGGCTGCAGTTTTATTCACGTTACAATTCAGTGTGTTCTAGAGTCATTGTTACTGTGTGCTGTTAAGTTGATTTTAACTGGAGTCTTCCTCCAATCCTGATGTCACATTCCTCTCATATAGTCCAGCTTCTTGGATTATTTGTTCAGCATACAGATTGAATAAAGTATGGTGAAAGGATACAACCCTGGCTCACTCCCTTCCTGATTTTAAACCATGCGGTATCCCCTTGTTCTGTTCGATTGACAGCCTCCTGGTCTGTGTACAGGTTCTTGATGAGCACAATCAAATGTTTTGGAAATCCCAATCTTAGTGTAATCCGTAATTTTTTATGATCCACACAATTGAATGCTTTTGCATAGTCAATAAAACACAAGGAAACATCTTTTTTGGTATTCTTTGCTTTCAGCCATGATCTGTCTGACATCGGCAGTGATACCCCTCATTCTACATCCTCTTCTGAATCCAGCTTGTATTCCTGGAAGTCCTCTGTCAATGTAATGCTGCAACTGTTTTTGAATTATCTTCAGCAAGATTTTACTTGCGTTTGATATTAATGATACTGTTAGATAATTTCCACATCCTGTGGGATCACCTTCCTTTGGAATGGGTACAGATATGGATCTCTTCCAGTCTTGTCCAGGTAGCTGTCTTCCATATTTCTTGGCATAGACAAGTGAGTGCCTCCAGCACAGAATCTGTTTGTTGAAACATCTCAATGGGTATTCTGTCCATTCCTGGGGCCTTGTTTTTCTCCACTTTCTTTACTGCAGCTTTGACTGCTTCCTTCAGTACCATTGGTTATTGATCATATGCCACCTCCTGAAATGAATGAACATCGACCAATTCTTTTTGGTACAGTAACTCTGTGTATTTCTTCCATCTTCTTTTGATGTTTCCTGCATCATTCAATATTTTGCCCATAGAATCTTTCAGTATTGCAATCCAAGGCTTCAGTTTTTTTCCTCAGTTCTTCAAGCTTTTGAGAAATGCTGTGTTCCTCCCTTATGGTTTTCTAATTCCAGATCTTTGCACATTTCATTATAATAATTGACTTTGTCTTGTGGAGCTGCTCTTTGAAATCTTCTGTTCGGCTCATCTTGTCATTTCTTCCATTTGCTTTAGCTGCTCTCTGTTCAAGGGCAAGGTTCAGAGTCTCTTCTGATACCCATTTTTGTCTTTTCTTCCTTTCTTGTCTTTTTAAATGACCTTTTGCTTTCTTCATGGATGATTTTCTTCACGTCATCCCACACTTCCTCTGGTTTTCGATCATTGATGTTCAGTGCATCAGACGTTCAGGAGGGATGTAATCAAGGTCATATTTTGTTTTAATTGTTTTCAACTTGAACTTGAATATGAGCAACTTGATGATCTCTTCCACAATCAGCTCCTGATCTTGTTTTGGCTGAAGATACTGAGCTTCTCTATCACCTTTTTTTGACAGATGGAGCTGGTCTGATTCCTGTGTACTTCATCTGGTGAAGTCCACATGTATAGCTGCCATTTGTGTTGTTGAAAAAGGGTATTTGCAAGGAATATGACGTTGGTCTTGCAAAATCCAGCACAATCTATCATGCGATCTCCAGCATTATCTCTGTCACCAAGGCCATATTTTCCAACTACCGGTGGTTCTTCTTTGTTTCCACCTTTTGCATTCCAGTCATTAGTGATAATCAACATATCTTGATTGCATGTTTGGTCAATTTCAGACTGCAGGAATTGGTAAAAATCTTCAATTTCCTCATCTTTTGGTTTGGTGATGGGTGCATAAGTTTGAATAATAGTAGTATTAACTGATCTTCCTTGTAGGCGTATGGTTATTATCCTATCACTGACAGCATTGTACTTCAGGATAGATCTTGAAACATTCTTTGTGATGATGAATGCCCCACCATTCCTCTTTAATTTGTCATTCCTGGCATAGGAGATCATACGGTTGTTCAAATGGCCAAAATGAGTCCATTTCAGCTCACTGATGCATATCATTCTTAATGTGTTCCATTTCATTTTTGACAACTTTAAATTTTTCTGGATTCGTATTTGTACGTTCCACGTTCCGATGACATGGATGTTTGCAGCTCCTCCTTCTCATTTTGAGTCGTGCCACGTCAGTCAGTGGAGGTTCTGAAAGATTTACTCAATCTACATTATTAAGTCAGCTCTACTCTGAGGACACAATTCTTCCCCAGTCGTATTTTGAGTGCCTTCCAAACTTGAGGGGATCATTTTCCTATACTATATTTATCCAATAGGACAGTGTTTCAGGGCTATTCATAAAGTTTTCCAGTAATTATCAGACAGTGTTTCCTGCTATTCATAGGGTTTTCACTGGCCAATTCTTTGAGAAGGGATGGCCCTTTCCTTCTTCCAAGTCTGTCTTAGTCTGGAAACGCTGCTGAGACCTGTCCACCATGGAAGACCTTGCTGGTATTTGAAATACCGGTGGCATAGCCTCTTCAGCCTCACAGCAACACACAAGCCACCACACTATGCCAAATAAGTCATTAAGATAAGTGAAATACAGCATTAGACATTTTAGTAAGAATTTCAATGTATCAAATCCAACTTGTTATTCCATATTTTTCTGAGTTTGAAGGTATATATACATACCCAAAGTGAGTAAAGTGCTCTAAATGTTGCTATAACTGCTCATCAGGTGTTGTGCACCAATTTAAAGTACACCAATCTTAGAAATACTGACTTCAGATTTAAAATGCATTTCTAATAAGTTGTAGCTTATCGTTGTTCCCAGTTTGTCTTAACATTGGCGTTGTCAGAATGCAATATTTGAAGAATATTTCAGACCTTTGGTGGCTTTAATTTTATTGACTAGAGGATAGTATCTTCATAATAAAATCTCCAAATGTTTTCCTTTATGTTAATTGAATTGACTAATCCGTTGAAGTTTTTGCATTTTTTTCATCTGTGTCTTTCTAGTATGTTTGTATATACATCTGCCTCCACCTAAAATCTTTATCAAATAAATTTTGGTGCACAAACATGCAAGGTGAATGAATACTGTCAGTGTGTTTTTAGAAAAAATAGGATAGTCTGGGTTCTTGACACAGAATTTTGCATGATGAAGTTATATTTAGTTCACTGAGTAACTGCAAATACATATTTCCTCTTTGTATCTAGAAATACGTTATTCATTCACTAATATTTGAGTTTGAGAAAATTCATCTAGAATGTCTTCATCTGAAGAGTTTGTAGTTTAATATTATGTGGTCTATTTAATTAGAGTCGAGTGCTGTTTGTTCTCTCTTTCTTTCCATCATCTGATTCTTCTAGTAATTGTGAAGGATTAGTTCCTTTGTAAATTTTACTATTTTTTCAGTTAGGGTTGAAAAATAAACCCGAATCCTCAACTGTATTCAGTTTTAAGAAAGTGCAAAGGAAGGATAGTTGGGAACAGTTGATAGGAGTGATGATGAAATAGCAAAATGTTTTAATATATAGGGAAAATAAAACCACTAGATTCCACCTTAGATTTGTAAAAGGATCCAGTGAATATGTATAATAATTGTAAGATAGAATGACTAATTTTTTTTATAAATGTAAATTATTCTTGTTCTTTGGCAGACTTAAGAATAAAGCTCATGAACTGTCATTTTTAGGTATAGTTATATCTGCTCATAAGAGAAACTCAAAGTTAAAATAGAATCCGCTGAACCTTGATAGGTATGTTACTGCCCCTCCCCCTTTTATTTTTCCCCTCATAGCTTTTCTCTGCAATACAGTTGGTGATTAGATTTGGTTTGTTCATATGCAGTTCCATTATTCCCCACTTCCATAGTTACTCTCAAATAATCTTGATGGCCTGTCTATAATTGTTTACATGTATCTCACAGAAAACTTTCAGTACCCATTTAGAGATTTTCCTGGCTGCTTCTCTAAGAGCAACCTTAGTTCCTATAATAAAGATTTTTTTAGTTCTCTCTTCCCAAACTCCCCTTCTCTCATTTTCTGTGTATTGAAATTTCATCAAGCAAGCTGCTGTATCATTAAGAATTAACTCTAATTCCTAATGAAGACTTTTCTAATCCTTCATATGAATAAAATTGTGTAATATTTTGTTGTTGTCCAGCTAAGATTTTAGTACATTTGATTTATGTTCCGTAGCAAGGGATCTAAATGACATTTTTTTGAAAGAATTTAAAAATTGAATTTATCACTTTCTGAAAATGATTATTAATGTTTGTAAATAGCGTTAATTTTGTTGTTGTTATGTGCCATCAAGTTGGACCCGACTCATAGTGGGGTTCTGAGGCAGTATCACTGCAGAAGTAGATTGCCCAACCTTCCTTCTGAGGAGTGGCGGGTGGGTTTGAACCACCAGCCTTCTGGTTAGCAGTCAAGTGCCGTAGTCACTACACTACCAGAGCTAAATAGTGTTAATAGAACCTTAAAAAAACCTCTTACAACTATGTAAAACTGCTTTGTAAGAAGCATTACTTTAAAATATGACTTAAGTGCACATACCATTTTCATTAAAGCTGTGCTCTGTACCCCAGTTTCAGTACAGTAACATTTTGATTCTTGAGTTTAATGGAATTTGGAATTTATACAAGTTCTCATTTACATTGTTGCTTTTGGGATAAATACATTAAGGCTTTTTTTTTTTTTTCCCATTCTTTGTAATAGGTTTATTCAAGAGCAAATGACCAAGAACCATGTGGATGGTGGTTGGCTAAAGTTAGAATGATGAAAGGAGAAGTAAGTGGTAACAGTTGGCTTTGTGACATGTTTTCAAGGAAATGCTTTAACTCTTGGTTTCTGTAAATGTTACTCCAATACTTAGTTTTGTTTCTGAAAGCCTATTTCAGAAGCAATTGATAACACATTTCAAAAGTTAATGAGACCATTAATTTCTATTTGTGTTTTGTATTTGCAAACACCGAAGGTGTTCTCCAGAGGCACAGCCCAAGCATGTGAGGACCATCAAGGTTCATGCCAAACCTATAATGTAGTTTAGGCAAATCAGATTGATTTAACTAAGCTCTGCTTAGTATTTGCACCACAAGGGGGGAGGGTCTCCTGGTTAAGCTGAGCAAGATAATTAAAACTTCATTTGAAGAACATTATTTTTGTTCAGATGGGATTTTTAAAGTATTTTGGTGTCTTTTAGTTTTATGTCATTGAATATGCTGCTTGTGATGCCACTTACAATGAAATAGTCACATTTGAACGACTTCGACCTGTCAATCAAAATAAAACTGTCAAAAAAAATACCTTCTTTAAATGCACAGTGGATGTTCCTGAGGATTTGAGAGAGGCGTGAGTAATTTTGTTTACTATTGAGTTGCTTTGCAAATTAAGAGGATTTTTGCAGTGCTACAAAAATCTTTTTTCCCCAAACACCCAATCAGAACCTTCTGATAGAAAATCTTTTCGTTTTAATGGGGGATGTTACAATGAAATCCTGTTCGCATTATAACTTCCTTCTAAATTTAAGCATTGAGGTCTGTCTTACACATGAATTGATTTCTTTCTAGGTGTGCTAATGAAAATGCACATAAAGATTTTAAGAAAGCAGTAGGAGCATGCAGAATTTTTTACCATCCAGAAACTACACAGCTAATGATACTGGTAAGATAGTACCATATTTTAGGTAGCTAATGGGTATTGTACACATTTTATGGTAGATATTTCAAAAGATTAAAACTAAGGTGAATTTGGTGTATAGTGATTTTAGTTAATGCAGTGCGGGAGAAAAAATTCTTCGCAGCTCTAAAATCATTGATTTTTGATGCCCTTTGGAGTAAGAAGAAAAGTAAAATTCGTAATATAATATTCTTAACGTATGGGATCCTGGGTCTGCTCTGCTTCCCCCCCCCCAAAAAAAAACCCATTCTCTTAATACCTTATCTAAATAATATAGAAGTTTAGAAAGAAAACAAAGGTTACTTGTAGAGTAGGTGTTAGGTGAGAAGGGGTAAGGGTAATAGATGAGACTTAATGAAAGCTTCTTGTGAAATATTGTGTTTGTGTTATTTTGAAAACTCATTAAGCTTTTGCGTGATTAATTTGTTTATTTACAGTCTGCCAGTGAAGCAACTGTGAAGAGGGTAAATATTTTAAGTGACATGCATTTGCGAAGTATCCGTACAAAGTTGATGCTCATGTCCAGAAATGAAGAGGCCACGAAGCATTTAGAAGTAAGTGTGTTTGCCCTTAAAAGATTTTGTGTGTGTCCTATTTAGTTTCATAAGAATATTCTTCAAGTTCTTTGGTTCATAATACTTGACAGTTAGATAAGACAACTCAGGACCTGTTTTATGGCTGATATTTGGGGTCATTGCCTCCTAAGAATAGTTGTTTTTCTCTGTTTTCTCAAACAGCTTTTTGTTTTATCAAATACTTATTAGCCTCTGTGGTTAGGATTAGGTGACAGTTACCAAAGAGCTTAGAATCTCAAAAGGAGTACTCAGTAGAGAACTGTATTGCTAGTTCTTCTTTACTCAATCCTTAACCTTTTTTTCGTACCTCAACATAACCTCTCAGTCATGTCACACTTCCCTTAGTAAGTGTTTTACTATACCAGCTCTTATATTAAGAGGAGAGTGTATGATTAGGAGTGGGGCTTCATATAGCATTTAATTAAAAGCCCCCAAAATACCACCCATCGTTGTTTCCCTGTCCTGTCCTAGGGTACTCTGTTTTCTCCTGTTCTTTGCTGCCATGCCATTTGGATACTTGGTCTTTATGCAGTTTGTGTGCTCTTGTACTCCCTGTCCCATCCCCCACCACCAGCTTAATACACATTCAGGTGCACACTATCTTGACTTACAGAAATTGCTGTTTATTTATCCTCAGAACAGATTTTCCGCTATCCTTATTCATTTAAAATCTCCAAATAAGGGATGTACGAATGAGTTTTGAGACATGAACTGTTTTGAATTGGAGAGCTGACTGTCAGTAATTTTGGAATGTTAGTTGTCTTTGAACTACTGTTTTCTGTGACCATAATTAGATAGACTGATGAAGCTTTTTTTCCCCCCATCTTTTGTAAAAACTTCTTTTACTAGTGTACAAAACAACTTGCAGCAGCTTTTCACGAGGAATTTGTTGTGAGAGAAGATTTAATGGGCCTGGCGATAGGAACACATGGTAGTAACATACAGCAAGCTAGGAAGGTTCCTGGAGTTACAGCTATTGAGCTGGATGAAGATACTGGAACTTTTAGAATCTATGGAGAGGTAAGCTGTTTCTGTTTCTTGCTTTGGCTAACTGTAGTATAACACATTAATCATATGTTGTTTGATAACATTTAGTTTTATCCAGAATTACGATTTCCCAGTGAAACGCCTTTTAGATGAAATTTACTCATTTGAAGTCATTCTGCTAGTAGTCATTACTTACACAGGGCAGTTGAAGTTGCTTTTGTGCTGTTTGCAAGATCCAGTGGGTAGTGTGTACTGTTTTCAAAAGTTTTTAATATAACGTGATTTTAACTGAGTTTTATACCTGTTAGAGGTAATTTTACTCAAATAGTTTTTTGAGTGCTTATTTTGTGCCAGGTACTTGTAATATTAAATAGCATATAGAATAGTTTTTGTAGAATTTGATCTTGGGGAATGATTTGTTGCTGGTTAATTGTGACATTTGCATGGACATGAAAATAGTAAGATACTTAAAAATACATATACAGGTAGTTCCCAACTAATTACAGAGTTCTATTCTGATGACTGAGTTGTTTGTTTTGATGCTGATGTAAGTCTGATACTTGATTTTTTTTTTTCCCCTCATGTTTTCATTATCATTGCCTTTTATTATCAGACATATTGTTGGGGGTATAAGAATTGCAGGTATTAAAAGTTAGAAAAACTTGAACAATTTGGTTTCAAATTAACAACTGATGCTTCTTTTTGTATAAACACTGAATACGAACACGGTATAGGCCTGCTCTGCAGTGAAGGTTGATGTCATTGTTGTAACAATGAACTTCAGAGTCATAATGAATGTTGAGTGTGTGTGCAGTTCATTTGTTGTATGTCGTTAGAGTTGATCATAGCCCAGCTGTCTACCTAGTAGAACTCCTGATACTTGACTTCACTGTAGATCAGGCCATAGCCTACTTTATACAGCAGTGTTTTGATCAGTAAATCATAAAATTGAACATCTGCAAGCGAACATCTGAGAATGAGAACATCAGCAAATTATGCATTGCAGCGTTGTATGTAGTACATACTACTTATGATGAAATGTACCCAAAATGAAAACGTTACGGTTTTAAGTGCAGTTTGTCATGACTCAGATAAGTCGTGAGTCGTGGACTCCCTGTATATAAAATTCAGACTTTTCATTGTGATCATCCTCCAAATTACAATAAATAAATGAGTTGGCTTTTTGGTTTTTTAAAACATTTTTATGTGACTTTTATGTTTTATTTCTGAAATCTTCAGAGGTGGGCAATGTAGCATAGTAAATAAAGAGTATGTTTTTTAGTACATACTGCCTGGATTGCAGTTCTGCGTCTGCCACTTTGAACGGACTTGGAGTGCCTCCTTGCACACGTAGTCTCGTAAAATGAGGATAACAGTAGTGTTTGCCTTACAGTTTGTGAGGTTTGAATACCGTTTCTAAAAAATCTTCACTGTATGTGATACATAATGTGGAATGTCATGTATGATGTAGTATGTGATAAATGATGTGAGCACATAATACGTTTGGACTGTGGTTATTGACAGATATTAAAAGTGGAAGTTAACAGTTATGTGTGAACTGTACATTCCCTCTAGAGAACCTCTTACCCTCCAATCCAGGATCCATTAGGAATGGTGAATTTTAATGATCTTATCAGTATACTTTTTTTGTTTTTTTTAAATGTATTTGCAGAAACAGCTTTTAAAAATCATTTTCAGTGTTGGGAGTGAATTTTAAAAAAAGTGCACACATTTTAGGCAATGGAAAATGTGTGTTTTTAACTTCACAAGGAGAAATAACACTTGGGAATATGGACCAGGATACTTAGAATTAGATTAAAATCTGGCTACGCAGTAGCAGTGTTTTAAGTTTCTCAACAGCTTAAAAGAGATCTTAGAGATTAGCATTTTGGATTCTAGTAGTACTGATAATTTTATCTTGTGCTTTACTTTTTAATGATTACTCTGATTATTATTTTTAGGATTTCATGAATTATTTAACTAGAAATGTCACTCCATTGGCCAAGCAGAATTTTTTAGTAGAGAATAATAATATACAGAATTCTTTCTCATGTTTCTGCTTTGGGATATGAGTTGCTTCAGGATTGGATTTCATGTTTGTTTTTTTCCCCTCTACAGAGTGCTGATGCCGTAAAAAAGGCTAGAGGTTTCTTGGAATTTGTGGAGGATTTTATTCAGGTTCCTAGGAATCTCGTTGGTAGGTAATTCTACTTAATATTTAATAACTTAAAATTACTTAAGTTACATACCATTGACTTAGTACAAAATTAGTCTTTGTTGTCTTATACCTTATTCTAATTAGTTAATGTATAGTAGTTGGGTAGAAATACTTTTTTCCAGTTTTTGGTGGTAACATTGTTTATGACTGTACATAGTTATTGTCTTAGGTTAAAAAGTAAAGATAATTTCTTCTGTACAGGGTGACCCACTAATAAGACCCATGAGTTTTATAGCAGTTTGGCATTGTAGTTTATATTCACCCTTTTCGTCCCTTGAGCTCTTCCCTGTTCTCATCCACCTGTCTTTTTATCATTCATATATCCATCAAAATTATGATAATATTTTTTGAGAAGGTGTTTGTGATAATTTTTTTTCTTTTGTTTAGTGCAGAAAAAAAGTGACAGTGGACTAACAGTAGGGTATGAATAAATATTAATTGGTTGTTGCAAAGGCATAGACTAAGGTAAGAAAGAAGTCAGGGGCAGGAGAGAAGTGTGGTGGTGATGATAGGAGGGAAGGTTTCATTATTAAGATTTTGACACCATTAATGGAAACTACATAGCCATGGGTTATAAGTTAAGTGACAAAAATTTGAGGTCAAAACTGTACTTAAATTAACATTATAGCTTGAGATGAGTTGTTTAATAGCTTTACACCTGTGCTATCCTTCATTTTAAATGTGATTTGAGACAGACAGAAAAGCTTTGATTAAGTGCTACTCAATGATCATCTTAAACATTTAATACAAGAAGCATCAAAATAATGTAAGATTTTTAGGGGGATGACTTTTTGTCCTCTACTGTGTCATTAGTATTTTGACCTTAAGGAAGTAGTTTCGGGTCCTTGGGTGCCATGTATATAATTGAGCTTATTCTGCCTTTAGGAAATAATTCTTAGCTATAGTTCAGTTTGTCAAATCTTGCAAAAATTAATAAGAAAAAGCTTCCATTATAAAGATTTGCTTGTTTCAGCCACTAGTGGACTTGGAGAATATAGTTTATAACATGAGAATTTGGATACTTTCTTGGAATTTACTATCAGTGATTATGTAAAAAACTTTTGAGTTCTGCCCAAACATTTAGATAGACAGACGTGCTGCTGACTCTGCTAGCTTCACTTTATCAGTTCCTGTTATACCGTTGTTCATTGTAGACTGAACTGAACTGCAAAGATGAGTTGTATATTAAAATTGAATATAAGCTTCAGGAATCTTGCATGACTTTTACAAATATTAAAGGAGCCTTGCTGGCATAGTTGTTAAGTACCTGGCTGCTAACTGAGAGGTCAGTGGTTCAGATTCATCAGCTGCTCTGTGAAAGATGTGGCAGTTTGCTACCATAAAGGTTGATAGCTGTGGAAACCCTATTTGGCATTTCTACTCATGGGATCCCTATGAGTTGGAATTGACTTGATAGCATGGGGTTTGGTTTTGATTTTATAAATGTTAAGGTGCAAAATGCTATCAAATGTTTATCATTGTCAAATGAAATAACTTGACAAGAAAGCAGCCTTTGAAAATAATCCCTCTTGTTTCTTTAAATCATACTCATTTATTTTTGTCTTTCAAGTACTAACATTGTGGTAGCTACTCTATAGAACATAATTTCCCTTTACTTGTATCCTCACTTGTGAAAATGATTTGGAGGGGTGTGTGTGTGTGTGTTTGTATAAGAGACTTGTTTATCACTCACCATTTCTATGGAAGATAGCTTTGATCCCAAAGAATTTGTAGGAGTGAGTAGAAATTTTCTGATATTTCAGAAATTAAGGAAATTGGATATATTAGTTCTCTGCTTCTTTATTCATTTATCAGTGTCATAAGTACTTTTCATGTCTTTGTTTTCCTCTACTCCTGTCTTGGTTGGCTTTTATTATTTGGATTGTTTGTGTGCTGTTTAGGAAATACACAGTAGCAGCAACTATTACACATTAGTGAAATATTCTGGACTAGTATAAAGATTCCATTGACTGCCATATATGAAATACTAAATCTCCTTCTAGAATGTTTTATGGTGGAAGCAGTCTTGTAAAAAGTAGTAAATTCTTAAAGAGAATAAAGAGCTGAGGAGTAAAAGGGAATGAGGGTCGCTTGGTAGGTAAGTGCCAGAGGATTGATTCCCTTGGAGTTGAGTTCCAAAAGTTGTAGGACTTGACTATTCCCACCCCTCCCAAATCAGAAGGAAAAAAAGAGTATGTGAACATTGATTTGAAAATGGATCAAAACCTTTCAACTCCTGAAAGCTTTCCTTAATCACTTCTCTACTCTGTCCCTTTAGCATTTATGCTCAATTTATACTACAGGTCTGCTCCAATTTGTCAATATGCCCTGGAATTTAAACTATGGAAATGATCATTTAAAGTATTGACGGTCTCTGGTGGGACTAAATAAAACTTGCAGGTAGGTCCCTGCCAAGGACCCCAGAAGGGTGATGGATGTTCACTCACCATTGGTTCACAAGAAGGAAGGAGCAAAGATTCTGGGGGAGGGATTATGATACATCATGATGTTTAGAAAAGATATTTGCTTATTTTTGGCAGGGTCAAGGATGGAGTTGCTGCTTGAGCTTCACTGTGCTCACAATGAAGGCTGCTTTTATATGCTGCTGCTAGGGCTGCTCAGACAAGAGATAACGCATGTGAATTCCCTCTCCTACCCCGTTTTTACCTGTTTAATTGCTGATGCTTTTAAATTTAGGGTTATTGATGGGGAAGGAGGTTTGGGAATAGGAATAGAGGAGAATAAGAAACTCCTGTGTAGGATAGTACTGTATTGACCAGTTTACTGTTGCCACTGTCCCCTTACTCATTCTTTAATGGAAACTGTTCTTTTAAGCATGCAGTAGGAAATACTTCTGTTACAACCTCTTTCAGTCAGAATTCATTTTTTGTGGAATTTTTCTGTGGAATGGATTATAGATTTAATAAAATAATTAATTGGTGTTGCTGTTAACTTTACAAGGGATATATCTATTCCAGAGAGTGGAGGTTACTTGAGTATTTATTTCTGCTACTAGATGACACTACCCAGTATTGCTTTGTTACTTTATAGTTTATATTACTTTTGTAACTAGATAGCAAGTTTCTCAGGGGAAGAGAATCTTCTGCCCCTTCTTTTAGTTGCTCCTTTAATTATTGGATACTCAATAACTGCTGTGTGACAGGCTCACAAGTAAAGTGTGGAGAAGGTAAATTATTTGGATTTTATGTCATTTTACAGTGCTGCCATATCTAGCAAGACATATGTCATGCTATATGTGCTTGCATCTAGCTGTGAAGTACTTTACATACTTGGCTTCTTGATGTAAAATGCAGTACTTGTTACATGTAAACTTTTTGTTTTACTGAAGAGAATATTCATTTTGAAGGTATCTTCAGGTCATAGGTATCTTAGACAAATAGAAACTTGAAAATAAGAGCGAAATTAATGGATTTGTTAATTGTGTGGATAATGGTACACGTAATAAAAATAAATGATATGATTAGTGACAAATAAGTTTCTGTTAACCGTTATGTTAGGCTTTCAAAATGGGTTAGATGCCATTAAAGTCTTTAAAATATAAAAGGTATGATAGGACATACTATAAAATGTTTAGACTTTGAATGTGTCTTATATGTCAAGGGGATTGGAAATCCCAGTTAATGATAGTGATACTGAAGAAAAGAAAGTATCAGACAAGGATTAAATTCCTTGGTAATCTAACAGGTGAGCTGATTGAGAGTAAAAAGGTGGAGCTTTGCTTGGTTGTTAAAGTTTGATAGCAGGTCAGAAATTATTTGAGCTGGTTTTGAAAGGATAGTAGTATTGGTTTTTAATTTATTATTGTATTTGTTTTATTAAAGGAAAAGTAATTGGAAAAAATGGCAAAGTTATTCAAGAAATAGTTGACAAATCTGGTGTGGTTCGAGTGAGAATTGAAGGAGACAATGAAAATAAACTACCTAGAGAAGATGTAAGTATTTAAAATGTAATTTAAGTTGCCCCCTCCTTCATATTCTTATCTATTTTAATGTGTTATTTTATATTTTGTATATTGTTTTAGAAACTGTTATATCTAGTACTTACATTCTGATATGTTTCTTTAAATTTTGTCTTGTTTCTGTGCTTTGTAAAATTATTTTACCTACTTAGAAAACAATTCATCTTTCAATTGTGTAAGCCCTGGGTTCCTAGTTGTTTTTTTTACTACTTCAGTAAAAAAGCCAATTTTTGATATGAACATTTCAGTTTAGTACTATCAACAGTACTGTTTTATGCTTAACATGTGAGAGTATAGAACAAACAATACAATCTGTTATGAAGGAATTCTTGATAGCTTACACACTCCTAGACCCTTTTGTAATATCTGAAAGTATTGACCATTTCCTAATCGAAATTCCTTTAAGCTTTTATGTTGCTATTAATTCTGGTCCCAGCTTTCTGGGATTTCTTTTCTTTTATAATCTCTTCACACATTTTGATATTTAGTCAGTCTACAGTGTTCTGTTCTTTACTCCTCCTGTATCACATTTATGGCTGTAGCAGAGCACTCTATTTGTATACTTAACTTAAACTTAGTATGTCTGAATATAAGGCGAAGGTTTTCACCAAGTTATCTGCGAGAATGCAGGATACTCCCACCTTTAATTTTGCACAGTGCAGTACTGTTTGGGGAATTTCGTTAGTCAATTGAATAGAATCATTCTTTAGAAAAAAAGAAAGTATCTCTAGATACTTAGCCTACATAAATATCTTCATACCATTTATTGGATGTTATAAACAAATTCATTAAAGATAACCACTTCTTTTATTCCTTTTAATGATTTAGGATATGGAGATGAACATATATGTAAAATTTAGTGAGAAAAACATGTGTGATAGTATTACATAAATGAGTAGTTGTGGCTTGGAATACTATTTCTGGGATTTCATCCTATAAAATTCAAAAAAGTTTGTAACTTTCACAAGTCGTTCTCCCCACCCCCCAGTTTTTTATGATTTTTAAGAAGTATTTGAGGTAAGGGTTAAAATTAATATATCATTACACACCCTCTCCTCACTTAGTTACTGTTGTCATAAATGCAGAATGTTGGATAAATGGAATAGTTGATAAGTGAAGAGAGATTATGATCAGTACTTCTTATCCTTTCTACCTCGTGTATATAATAATGGTGATCATTTGGCATACCACCACCACTGCTTAATAAACAGTTGGTCTGAAGATCATAATGTTTACTGGCCAGAGCCATTAAATTTCTGGAGTGTAAATTTCTAAGTTTAGTTACTATCTGATTCAGTCGTCTTAGATGAATTCATCATCCACAGTTGCTTTCCAGTATGAAACATCTTGTTTTAAGCTAATTCTTCTAGATTCTCCTTCATTTATAAGAAGAAATGATTGGACCCTTCCCTGTATACCTTTGTTTTGGTGGTTGTTGCTGCCATTTCTCTGCCAGAGTTAAGATTAACAGAGGCCAAGCAGATAATACAAATGATTTGACAGGTTTGAGATGTACATGACAAGAGTGGAGAGGATGGTGCATATGTTTAAAGTCTAGTTGCCATGTGTTGCTTTTTGTGGTGCTATTTCTTCAGATAACTGGAAGCTGGAAACCTGTATTTTTTATGTAAACTCTTTCATGGTTTTCAAAACCATGGTAAAACCAAGTCTAAATGTTGGTTTTGAATTACCTAGGGCATTGTTTTGCAGTTTAATCTGTCTAAATCCCCTGAAAATTCACTTTATAACTAGAAGGTGATCTTAGTCTGAGGAGATCTTTCTCATGTGAATACTGTCGCATTATTGTCTGTATAATTGGATATTTATAAATTCTTTTTCAGTCTTACACTGTTTTGTTTTTTGGTTTATCTAATGTCTCCAAACTCTAGGTTATGTACATCTTGAAATCAAGAAGTCAAATCTGAATTCTCACTGTATTCTTCCTTAAAATAGACTGGGCACCTGAAAAATATTTGCAGTCATTTAATTAAGATTTTCAAAATTACGTTTGAGTTTTTAATTGTGAAAGAAAAACGTTCGTGTAAAAATTGAGTAGCACATAAAGGGTATAGCTTGAAAAATAAGAGTATATCTGTGTCTTCTCCTGTACTCTCCTTCCCTCCCTATCATGCCTAATAGACTAGACAGTTGTTAGGTTGCCTTTTCAGATCTTTGTTACACTATTTATTACAAGCAATGCTGCATTAAATGTCCCTTGCCAAGTATAACTGCAGAGTAAATTCACTGAAGTAGATTTGTTAGAAAAAGGAGTATATGGTATTTAAATTTTTAGGTTTTGTTAATTTTTTCCACACATTCCCTCTACCAGTGTGGGAAAATGTGCTTTTCCTATATATTTGTCAGCATTTTATCAAACTTTTCTCACTTTGGAATGTATATATACATGTTACCTTTTCATATGCTTAAAAAACATGTTTGTCTGTGACCAGCTTGTCTTTTGCATATTCTTGTCTTTTTTATTATTGGGTTGTAGGAACCTTTTGCATTTTTTTTTGGAAGTTAGCCCCTTTTGGAAATATATGGAAAATATTCCTTGTTTCTTTTCACTTGAATTTTTTTTTCCTAAGTTAAATTTTTTTTTTTTTTTTTTAAACAGTATTTTAGTTCATTATTCTGGATTTTGTGTCATGTTTAGCAGGATCTTTCTTTCTTGAATATGTCATTCAGCTAGCCATTCATAATTTTATTCTCTAGTATTTATTTATTGTCAGTGTTTTGCTTCAGCTAGAATATTTTTGGTGTAAATTATCAGGAATAGGGATTCAGCTTTATTTTTCTTGAATCTTGGTTGTCCCAGTGCCATCTATTAAATAAAAATAATCAGCTTTTAGTATTTTTGAACTTTGGAATTTCACATTAATAACTCTTAGAAATGAACTCTTTCATTCGATAATCATTTTACTCTACTTTTTTCCTTTATATGGCTTTACAATAGCCAATAAAATAGTCTGTAAAATACATACCTTTAAAATTTCATTTGACCTCTCCTTTTCTCTGGAGGTAGCTTTTGGTGATAACATCTCTCATTCAAGGTCAAGGCATTATGTTTTTCCTATGCCTTGCAGATCCATCTCTGTCTGGAATGACTTTCCCTTTTTTATCAAATTGGTAAAACTCTTATTTGTTGTTAATGTCCACAATAATAACATTTATTCTTAGGAATTCCCTTAACATTCCACACCTAGGTGGAATAATCCATATTCTACCTAATATTCCTGTTTTTGTTCATACCACTAGCACTAAACAATGAGATTATTATAGGAATGTTTAGTATTTTCTCTGATTATGATTGCCTGTAGAACTGGGACTTAATTTTATTTATCCTTTACCCTAGCATAGATTCTGGCAATTATAAATATATATTATTTAGAATTAGATCCCTGGATGGCACAAACAATTTGTGCTTGACTACTACTAACTGAAAAATAGGTGGGTTTGAACCCATCCAACAGTGCCATGAAAGAAAGGCCTGGCAGTCTATTTCTATAAAGATTATAGCCAAGAAAACCGTATGGAGCTCAATTCTACTTTCTAAACACATGGTGTCGCCAACAGTTGGAATTGGCTTGATGACAGTGGGGGTCTAGTTTTGATACTTGGTATTAGGCATCTGGATATGAACGTGGCTCTTACCAGTTGCTAATTTTGGTAGCTTTTGGTGATAACATCTCTCATTCAAGGTCAAGGCATTATGTTTTTCCTATTCCTTGCAGATCCATCTCTGTCTGGAATGACTTTCCCTTTTTTATCAAATTGGTAAAACTCTTATTTGTTGTTAATGTCCACAATAATAATCATTTGGTCAAATGATTGATTATGCATCCTCAGTTTTCTCATCTGTAAAATTGGGATAATACTTGTTTCTTTTTAATGAGCATTACTTAAGTTAGGTATAGAATGCATAATATAGTTCCAGAAAGATGGGCTTTGATTAACTTTCAGTCTCTTACTTGCCTTCCTATTCCTGAGAATAGGTTCAAGGCTTCCTCGGTGCCTAAGGTTAAAGTAAATTCCCTGGCTTCTATACCTTCATAGTCGTAATTACTTTTTCAGTTTTCATGGCTTTATTCTAAGATCCTTGATAGTTGTGCTCTGTGTTGAATCCCCAGAACCTGCCCTGGTGTCATCTTTTTTATTCTCTGAAGTCTAAAAATCTCTGATTATCATTTTAAAAAAATTGTTTAGAAATAAATCAGAGTAAGTAAGCTGCACTTAATTCCATATTTAGATGGAAGCATTATCTAGCCAATCTGTTTAAATAACTATCAGGAATTATTCTGTAAAATGAGGAAAATGAGCAGAGACAATGGAACTGATTTGGAGAGTTTATGCTTGACTGCCGTTTTCCTCAGTCAGTGTGAAGGTGGAGGTATTGTTTCCTTAAAGAAAAAAAAAAATCCTTTAGCCTCTTACTTCTTTTTTATCTTGCTTTTTAAACATATAGCATTTGAAATTCAGCAAAGTAAACCAGGTCTGGGTTAATCCTTTGATTTGCTTTAATACTTAAGACTGTCAGTGATTCCTTTATTTTATGTTTTGTAAATGTACTCTGTAGGTGATAACTTTTGCTGTGGTCAGGACACACCTTGTCTGACCAATAAACAGACATTCAAACTCAAGATTTTGTTATAGCACATAATAGAGGGGATAAGTTGTCTCAAATGCTTTATTATGTTTTAAAGCTATCACTACTGATCATGTATCTAGTCTAAATTTGTGCCATTTTGAAGGAAGAATCTCTTTAAAGTTGGTTTATATACTTTGAAGAAATAGATTGAATTAGAAATTAAAAAAAAATCTTTTAACAGCATGATTTATATTCTTATGTTTTTTTGCATACTTAACACTATATTGTAGCACAGATATGACAAGTCACTGAAAATCTTAGCATTTCAGATTATTGACTTTAGCAGTTTTTGTTGTTATTTTTGGAACTTCGGTAGTTGTAAATTGCTGTGTGGTTTACAAAAGTTTTCCCCATTATTAGTATGCCATATTTAGACTAGAACTTTGTTAAAATGTTAAATACTGAGAATGCTGTGTTTTCTTATAGGGAATGGTTCCATTTGTATTTGTTGGCACTAAAGAAAGCATTGGAAATGTGCAAGTTCTTTTAGAGTATCATATTGCTTATCTAAAGGTTTGTATACTCTTAACATTCCATTCTCATGTCATTGTTATTCCACACATTAAGCATTTTATATTTCTCTGTGGTAAAGTTCACCTCTTTGGTTAATTCAGATTTTTCCTGTTTTCCCATATGAGAATTTGAAAAAAGCTCTTTGCCATAAGAAAAGGATTGGCTTCATGCATATTGTTTCCGTGTTTCCCTCTGAGCTTTTGTGTTTCTTCTTTAAGCAGCCACTTTGTGTTCATATAATTTGTTTCCCAGTCTTTGTGTTGATGTAATTTCACTGGACTATCAACACTTACGGATATACATGTTCTGTATTGAAGCCATTTTGTTTTTTCTTTTATACTTCACATGTAAATCAGGTATAGAACTAGGAGTGTTGTTGGGCTTCCAGTGTAACTGTGGGTATTGTATGATACAGCTGTACTATTCCTATAGACATCATTTGATAATTCTTAACTGTTACCTTTATAGCCAAGAGCTTTCTCTAGACACCTTACTTTCATATCCTATAATGACCTAAATTTCTGAGTGACCAGGTGTACCAGTCCATCATCTAGATCACAGCTTAGGTGTCATTATACTGATAAGAAGTTGCTTGTCAAAAGGTACATTTTTTATATGTTAACTGTACCTCATGTAACAGTTTGAATTCCTTGAGACCAAAATCTGGTGGTAATGTGTAATTATTAGCTATGTTTAATGAGTGATTTTAAAGCTTTTGTCTGTTAAAACATTCCTTTGAATGGAGAGTCCATGTCCTTTTTTTGTTACATGCTTATAGCAGTTACCATGGTTGGCTAATGCTACGGCATTGAGTAATGTTTATTGACTTCAGTCAGCAAATGGCTTCATAAATTTTGTTTGCTAAGAAGGTGCTGCTTTACCTAAATAATTGCTCAAGTTTCTTTTAAAAAGACTACCCTCTTCTCTTTTGATTATAGGAAGTAGAACAGCTAAGAATGGAACGCCTACAGATTGATGAACAGCTGCGACAGATTGGTATGGGTTTCAGACCTTCTTCCAGCAGAGGGCCTGAAAAAGAAAAAGGATATGCCACTGATGAAAGTACCGTCTCTTCTGTACAAGGTTCTAGGTCTTATAGTGGAAGAGGCAGAGGTCGTCGAGGCCCTAATTACACCTCCGGTTATGGTAAAAACATTTTTTTGTGTAGTAGTTCTAGCTTAGGTGCTCCAGTACCTTTTGCTTATTATTATTTAGTTAGTTCATCCCTCTGGTTTTGAGGGAAAGTAGTAGTTCCAAGGTACATGTCTTAAACAATATCGATACCACACTTTATATTAATGACAGTGTAACTTTCAAGCAGTTAATGTAATGAACATGTTTTCGCTAAGTAGTAGTTTGTGACCATGTTTCTTCTAAATAAATATTTAGAATAAATATATATGTAACTTATTTTTCAAATATTTCCTAGTACCGTTTTACATGTATCCCAATAAAAAAATTAATTAATGGTGGTGATACTGTTAGGAATCTTTTGCCTGCCCTCTAAGAAAAATAAAAATGAAAATTACCCTAATCTCTGTGCCAGTACTGCATATAGCAAATCTTTTACTAGCTTTTAAAATGTATTTTACTGGCTCATATGGCAGTTTTGAATATTAACATCGCACATCTGGAATCGTTTTGTGTAATACAGCATTTCACTAAAATGAGGGCTTAAAAGATAGAACCTAATTAACAATTTTATAAAGGAACATTTTTCTAAAATATATTTCACTGTGAGGAATAGGCCTTAACTCAGGAGGGGATAGTGGGGATAGTTAACAATTCTCTAATTCTAAATTCTTGTTTATTCTTCTTCAGCTTTGGAGTTGTTCCATTTTTCTACATTTGGACTTGGATCTTAGCAGTGACCTCATATTTTTCCTCCCTCATTTTCTTTGCCTTCCTTTCTGTTTCTTCTTTCTTTTCCTTTTTTTCACTCCCCTACGTTCATCTTGTTTTGGAAAATTCTTCAATAAAAATTTTTTTTTTTTTAATTCACTCTAACTAGGACACTAGGCAAAATGGAAATGCATGCAAGAAGAAGTAGAAGGTTAATTATTCTTTGCCTTCATTATCATAGCCTTTCATCTTCATGTTCTTTTATTTTTTTTTTTTTAGTTAGGTCTGTACTGAAACTTGAAAAGCAAAATCTAGTAAAATAATAATAATAAAATGTATTTACAAAGGCAAAAGCTGTAAGCTATTAGAGTATTCCTGAAAAGATATTTAATACAAAAGACAATTAGCCAATAATTAGACATTAAGACATTCTGATTGATTTTTTAATGCATAAATTATTAGCATAAATAAATCTGGCATCTTAGGTGATGTACCCATTGAAAAATTCCATTACTCTGTGGAAAGTCTGCTTACTAAGCGGGCACTTTTGTCAGAAATAAAAAAATAAGTATATATGACAATTAATATTAAAGGGAAAATATCTAGATTGAAAAAGCTATGCAAATTGTTCAGTAGATGGCACTCTTACCTCTGAATCTTTGTAGAAAGAGTAACAATAGTTTTTGAAAACGCTGTTGAACTTGAATGGGCCTGGGAGAGAATAAAAACCATGTGGCTTGATTATAGATGTTCTTATATACTCAATACCGGGATGTTTTGGATGATTATAGCGTTAGTTCTATAAGGAACATCTCTTTCCCTTTGTATCAGCTCTGAAATCTCACTAAGGTTTTCAGTTAGATTGGTTGTCAAGTGTGATTTGTTTTCTCTCAAGAAGAAGTCTTTATAAAATTTGTGGAATAATTTCAAATACTGTTTTCTTACAGTCAAAGACACTGTGGCTGACAAAATGTGCTATTTTATGTACTACTATTTAAAAACAATCTTATGAGATGCCATCAGTTATGTGAAACATCCTGGTTTCAGAGTTGTTAAATTGTGAAAATAATGTGTATGCAGAATCAATACAGTAATAATGGTGGAATAGTCTATATAATTAAACTTTATTGTTCTGAATATGAAATTTGCTTTAAATTATCTATATTGGTTATTTATATTATACTAATAATCTTGGGGGAGCTCTGATAGCGTAGTGCCTAAGGCACTTGACTGCTAACTAGAAGGCTGGCGGTTCAAACCCACCAGCTACTCCTTGGAAGGAAGATGGGGCAATCTACTTCCGTAGTGATAGTGCCTCGGAAACCCAAGGAGTTGGAGGGGTCACTATGAGTTGGGTCCAACTCAACGGCACAAAACAGCAACAGCAGCAGCAATTTTGGATATTAAAACCTAAAACAGCAAAACTTTTTGAATGTTTTAAGTGTGTTTTTATATTATGTGTGTAACATTTTATGTTTTCTATAGTTGTTCTATTAGCTGTATGTCATCAAAATAACTAGTTTTTAAATGTATTATGGCCACTAGATATTACACTAGTATAACACTAACATTTGATAGTTTAATTTCAAATTTTATTTAGCTTTCTTTGAAGCAACTAATGAGTATTCTTATTTCAACAGTTTTTATAAAATAATTTTGAATATTTCAAGCCTCTTTTCTCATGAGAATCAATTGGTTTATCTTCTCTCCCAAGGTACAAACTCTGAGCTGTCTAACCCCTCTGAAACAGAATCGGAGCGTAAAGATGAGCTGAGTGATTGGTCATTGGCAGGAGAAGATGATCGAGAGAGCCGGCATCAGCGTGACAGCAGAAGACGCCCAGGAGGAAGAGGCAGAAGTGTTTCAGGGGGTCGAGGTCGTGGTGGACCACGTGGTGGCAAATCCTCCATCAGTTCTGGTAGTCTTTTATATACTATGTCAGCATCCTTTTTTTGTAAACAGTATAACCTTATAAAAGATAATTCATCTCCCAGAGCTACCCATGCCTGGAAGTTTCTCTTTCTACTCATTGTTCTTTGGAAAATAGTGGACCATATCACAATTTAAGGAAAAGCTTTGTAGAGTGTTTTTGAGTGAAAGTTTACCTAGAATATTTAGGTCAGAAGCTTTAGTTGTCTGTTTGAGAGTCTGGTAGTCATTCATCCTTTTGGTTCTGGGAAGCTTATGTAGTTGGAATATTTTTTTTGTGAAATTGTTGGGCTGTGTATTTCTGTTTGCCAGGCAGACCCAGTGAATTCTAATGCACAGAGAGATCTAAATACTTTTATGTACTTAATATTGAAAATGAATGGAAAAGGAGTCTTTGTCCCACTATGAACTACTTTGGGAACAGGAAATTTTTGGAGTCAGCTGTTTTTTAAGAAAGTTTTCTTATTTGACGAATTGAGCTATAAAAGAGTGTGTAGATATCTTTAGAGATATGCAGTTGTATAAGCAACTTTTTATTACTGTCTTTTTAATACTGTAAGTTGAGTTGTAGGAGGAATGTTATTGTTTAGCATAATGGGCTGGCGGGTATGTAAGTTTATGTGTGAAGAGGGGAGAGTTGTTAGGCCTCTGTGGTGTAGAGTACATCGGGAGTATATAGCTTTAATATTTCGTTATTGTATACCACTTCAGGAAAACCACTCTTTCCTTGATCTTAAAATATACCCCCACTTCCAATATGAAAGTTTACATAGTATTTCAAATACTAGAGAAGAAATGCATATATATATAAAATACATGCCAAATATGCTTATTTATAAAAACTGGGATAAATCAGTAAAAAACTTAGACTTATTTTAAAGGACACCCTAGTTCCACAGTGATAATTCTTTGACTTCTAGCCCTAAGTTTAGTTTATAGACTTCCAGGGAAATACACTGTGCACTGTTACTAAGGTCTATAAAATTATAATATGCTGAATTGCAAAATAAATGTACTTTACTCTACCTAGTGTTTATGATGGATGGATAAACTTAGTGTCTTTTGCAAAGATGCTAGCTTGCTAGCTGTTACCAAAGGAAATTTAGGAAAAATCGTGATTAGGTGAATTTCTTCTATAATTTAATTATTGGAGGCAATAAATCCACGTAGGTAAGATGGGTATTTTCTTATGAATTGTATCTTAAAAGGTTTTCTTTCCTACCTCCACTTTACCCCTCACCCCACCTTCCAGTGTTTGTTTCTGGAGATGGAGAACTTGTGAACATTCATTTCAGCATTTCTCTTTTCTTTAACCAGTTAGAATTTCAGCTTTTTTTTTTTTTTTTTAGTTCACTCCTTTGTGTGGACTTGTTTTGATTGCTTCAGTTCATCTTAACTGGTTTTGGTTAAGTTATGGAGTACAGGTGTTGAGTATTACGTGGTAATAGAGAAAAGCAACATTCATCTTGAACTCAGTAAAGGGGAAGAAAGTCTTGTCTTAGAGCCTTAATTCATTTAGTTGAATATATGTTTCTCCACTCACAGGGGCAGGATTAGTTAGGAATGTGAATATCAAAATTAGCATGTAATGATACACTGTTTTAGTGTGTGTGTGTGTGTGTGTGTGTGTGTGTGTGTGTGTGTATATATATATATATATATATATATTTATATTATCAAAACTAGTTGAAAGAGGAATTTTAGGAAGTTGAAAAGTGTGTTATTCTTCTGCTTTCATTTTTCATCATTTAAAGTTTCTCCATATTTAATCATCTTTGTTATTTTCCAGGAAACTAGTGAACAGGAAACATTATATTTGAAGACAGAATGTATTTTTATTGGGAAAATTGAAGTTTATTTACCATTAATTGATATAGTTCAATATAGATCAAAACAGTCATAATAACTGCAGCTCTCTTAAACAAATATTTCTTGCCTCTGACATGCATATAGTGCTCAAAGATCCAGACAGCAATCCATACAGCTTACTTGATAATACAGAATCAGATCAGACTGCAGACACTGATGCCAGCGAATCTCATCACAGTACTAACCGTCGTAGGCGGTCTCGTAGACGAAGGACTGATGAAGATGCTGTTCTGATGGATGGAATGACTGAATCTGATACAGCTTCAGTAAATGAAAATGGGCTAGGTATGTAAGCATTTAGGGGGAAAGACATGTATAATGTTAATATATGAAGCTTTTCCCCACCAGAAAAGTAATGCATTTCACAATTTGAATTTTTTCTAGTGTTTATTTCAAGGTAGATAGCCATGCGTCTGTCTTAAGTGTCTAGTTTTCAGATTTATCACAACCACATTATTTGACTGAAACTGAGAGGGCTTATTAAAGTGCCCTTTGATGCCATTGAATCAGTAGAATATTCAAACTGTGCAAGGCACTGACTGCTCTTACTGTCACCAAACCAGAATTTGGCTTTCAGCTTGCCTTTTTAAATTTATGTCTCTTGAGAAGTTAAGAAGAACAGGCATAATTTCCGAAGGGCTAAAATGCCATTAACTTTGGTAGAAACCAAATAGTATTGGAGAGGAAAATGTTACCTGCTGAATGATGGTAACTTAAATTAAGTCTGAGAGTTTGTTTAATTATGAGGTAAAACCTTCTAAATTTCCATTTATTAATCTATTTGAAATGCTTCAGACTACAACAATGTATTTCCTGTCAGTAATGTATGTTGTTTTATCTTCAGTGTGTAGTTTCTGTTTTCCCTTCCTTAAGTCTCTTGAAGAAAGAAACTTTTTTAATTTTAATGTGAAAATAGTTCATGGTAAACTTTGCAATTACAGATGATAGTGAGAAAAAACCCCAGCGACGCAATCGTAGCCGCAGGCGTCGTTTCAGGGGTCAGGGAGAAGATAGACAGCCAGGTAACTTGTGTGGACCTTTTGACTATATCAGGTCACAAGCATGAAACCAATGTCACGTGTTTCCTTTTTAAATATATTATACTTACATGTACACATGTGTGCATATACTTTCAAGATTTGCATTGCATATACTGTTTACTCACCAATAAGGCTACTACACTTAAGAAAATGCATTCTTCGTTCGCACCGTAAATGTTTAGTAACCTGTCTGATTGAACTAATGTTATGTCTTAATTTTTTTACATGGGAATACTGTTGCAAAGATCATTATTTTGCCCACTTGGCAGATTCTTCACACTTGAGCTGAGGACTGCCATCCCAGGGACTATGTTGTAGATTGTGATTGAGGTGGATTGGCTGGGCAACTTGTGCATGGTGCCTGCTTACTATATACCTGGATTCAGCACCTCATTTTTATGGGAATTGTAATACCCACAACTTAAAACGTACATATATGAAAGAAAAATACTTGAAGGAGTCTTTTTCCTAATAAGAGGAATGCATGTTATGTTTTCATTTGTTACTGTAGTATGATGCCTTTTCCCTTAACACCTACTAACTACTCAAATTAATAGTACTTATGTAGTTTTAGAATGTTAATTTAAGTAGTCATAAATTTCAGTAACTTCAAAGGAACTTGTTTGCTGTGTCTATATTATTTTGGACATAATTCCATTTCCTGTGTACAGAGTATCATGTATATTCACAATGAAGAAATTGTGTGCACCAGAAATAAACCCCTTTCAAACTATTCAATTTTTTGCATTCTTTCCAAAACAAATTATTTCATGTGTTTTCCCCAAACAAAGAATGTAAATTCTAGTATCTTTAGTATTTAAAGTTTAATGGTTGTAGAGATTTGGGAACTGGTAAAGGGTGTTAGTCCTCATTCTTCAAAGTTCATGTTTTAAAGATAGTTGGAAATTTTTAAAGGGATTAAATGTCAAAAATGTTCAGAAAATATTCCTTCTTGTTTTCCCTTCTTTTCTTAACATTCCCCTATAGTGTTAGAAAATATAGTTTAGATCAAGAGATCATATATATATTTTTTAAGGTGCCTCAGCCAGCAATTAATACATTTTTTTAAGCCATACATTATAAGTAAGAAAATTCAGGCTATGAGTATCACCTTAACATAGAATAAATTACAACGTATTTATTAACTAGATGGATGGTGGTTTATTACTAAGGCAGTGGACACAAAAGAAATCACATAGTGGGGTTTGTTGCAGCAAAGGCAGTTTGCTACATGATAATTTTTTTCCTGTATGTTCCCAGATTTGAAAACATGAAGGTGCACTAATTGAAACTGAAGTGATTTGGAGTTTCCAGTTAATTTGACAATGATTTGTGTTCCATACTGAATCTTTTCCTCTTTTACAGTTAAGATTAGTGCTTTTCCTATTTTAGAAACTTCTGCCCTCCCAACTCCACCCCACCCCCCTAATAAAAGATACGGGGAGGGAAAAACAAACATAACATTGTTTCTTTGCTCTCCTCAGCAATTTTAGAGTCAGGCTCCATCTAAAGTCATTATCAACATTTTCTTACATACTTCATTTAATTGGTTCTTTCATTTTACTCTCATTTGCCCAATATTTCTTGTTGCCTTTAGTGTAAAGCAGATGTTGTTGTTATGTGCCTTCGAGTAGACCCAACTCAGCGACCCCTCCTTGGGTTTCCGAGACGGTATCACTACAGAAGTAGATTGCCCAACCTTCCTTCCGAGGAGTGGCTGGTGGGTTTGAACCGCCAGCCTTCTGGTTAGCAGTCAAGTGCCTTAGGCACTATGCTACCAAGCAGTAGATGTTCTTTACTAAATTTAGAATGTGACGATACACTGGTATCCAGTTGATTGATTTGGGTCCCCTACAGGAAATTTAGAGTTCAAATTAAGCTATACAGATAGCTTGTATTTTTCCTAGATGTAAATATTTATTTATACTGGGTGCTGTATTGAACTTTTAAGGGGCTTACATTATAAGGCCTAGCTATAAAACAGGTTTTTCTGATGATCAACTGAAATGGTCTTTCTCTCTTTATTTGGGTAGATGGGAGGGTATATTTTTCCCTTTCCAAGCTAAGTGCCTCTTAACCTACTGTAATTGATAACTATGCAAAAGTATATTTTTCTATGTTTATACACAGTGGATGAATGCTTCCTAAGAATTGTTTCAACACTTAATCTAATTTTGCAGTATGTTTTGTGCAGCAAGATTTCCAAATAGTTGAGTTTTTCAGGTGTCATTGAAGACTTCACTGTGGAAACAATGACTTCTTTATGCTGCTCCCAGAACGACAGCTAGAATCATTCTCAGAACAGTTTGGCCACAATTGTGTAGACATAATAATTGAATATTATATAAAAGTGGATTATGCCAGTATTCCCTCTTTTCAGTTTTGTAAACTGTTGTTAAATGTATTTATAAATTCATAAACAGTGGATAAACAACTGAAACATCTTCCAAAAGAAGATACTGATTTTCTTACATTTTGGAAGGAAAAAGAGGCAGTGTAGGCCCAAAACATCTTTATTTAGTGATGTTTCTAATTAAAAAAAAAAAAATGATACATAGGAGTTGTTAGTTGCCTCATGATTTTAAAGACTGATTTAAGTATTTCCTAGAAAGTTCTTGAATCTTAGGAAACTGTTAACATTAATTCATAACAAAGAAAGTTGTGATTATCTAGCTTTTCATTAAATCAGAATGATCTAGTTATTTTCATATAATTTGAGAACATGGGAAGCCATTTTTTCCCCATACCTAGAGACTTTAAATAAACAAACTTGAGTTTTCATTCTTTACCTGTAATTATACTTCCCTAGTTTAAAATACACTATATTTTCCCCTCTCTCAGGTTTCTTCACTAGTTTGATTGAAGATAACTGTCTTTAAAATAAAAAAAAAAAAAAAAAAAAAACCCACTTCCATCAAGTCAATTCCAATGAGTAGTGACCCAGTAAGACAGAGGAGAACTGCCCCATTAAGTTTCCAAGGCTGTAAATCTGTACAGAAGCAGACTGCTTCAGCTTTCTCTTGCAGAGCGATTGTGGATTTGAACTGCCACCTTTTAGTTAGAAGCCCAGTGCTTTAAGTATAACTCCACCAGGGACTCCTTTTGAAGAAAGATTATTTTGACATTTTGTCTAAATCAGTAAATTCCAAATTGAGGGTCCTTGAAGGGAAAGGATTGAGGTTTTTTTGTTTTTAAATATATTCTTTGCAAGGAAGGCCAGTCTAGAGAGCACTTTGTTGTTGTTGTTGTTGTTTGCCGTCGAGTCGGCCCCGACTCATAGCGACCCCTCCTTGGGTTTCCGAGGCAGTATCATTACGGAAGTAGGATTGCCCAACCTTCCTTCCGAGGAGTGGCTGGTGGGTTTGAACCGCCAGCCTTCTGGTTAGCAGTCAAGTGCTTTTAGCCACTATGCTACCAGAGAGAGCACTTACAGAACTGAAGTTGCACTTGGGTTGGTGGTAGGATGTTTGCCTGGGTTAGTCATTCCACCTATACCACTGTCATCTGTCCACTTGTCTGCAAACACAGTATTTTGGGAAGAAGTGGTCACTGAATTCACTAAAAGCTTTTTTCCACTATAACTAATGTCCACATTTTTAGGGTGGTGGTTTGTCATCATTAGTTTCCTTATAGTTTATTTTAGATAACTCAGAATGGTTTCCAGTGTGGAATAACAAAAAGATCCCTTGAAATACCACATTTATATATGTTAGTTGTGCTTTTTTTTTTTTTTTTTTTTTAAAAAAAAAAAAATAAACAAAAACTAATAGTTAATTTTTTAGAGAGTTGACATATATTACACTGTGATCTGTACCAAATTTACCCCAATGTTTTCCACACTCTGGGCTGAGGACACTGCATTTTCTATTCTTGGTTGTGGGTTTCTACACCAAATGTATTCCACAGCCTTAGACTCAATCAGAAGTGAGTGGCTAGATTCTTGGGGAAGAGGATTTAGTCTAGGCTTCCCCAGTTGCCAGCTTGAAATTGTCTATTGTCAGGACTAACAGGCAATTTTTCAAGTTTTGCTTTTGGTTGGAGGTGGTATACCCAAACTTAAGAAAATTTTGAAATTGGGTGACCTACCATTAATTTATTTTACTAGTGAAATTACTTTTTATCCATAAATAAACTTTAGAAGTATTTTTTCAACACCTGTAATTTTTTTCTCATCTTTAACAGTCACAGTTGCAGATTATATTTCTAGAGCTGAGTCTCAGAGCAGACAAAGAAACCTCCCAAGGGAAACTTTGGCTAAAAACAAGAAAGAAATGGTAAGGAGAATTTAACCTGTAGGTGTGGTTTCTCTACCCCCCCCTCCCCCTGTGGTATGATTTAGTTTTATTTTTCACTTCTTGACTTGCTGTATGATCATTTGTTTCCCCTAATAGATGAATTTTAGTAAAGATGACTTGATTTTATTCTTGGCCCTGGGTAAATAAAGACATGCATGCTTGAGCTTGCAGTACTTATCAGTTAGAACCTTAAGTAGCATTTGTAAAATTCAGTCTGCCCAGAGGTACTGGAGTAAAGACTGTTGCTTAATTTGAAGAGCAGGAGGAGGATATATATTTCTTTACTTTGATGGGATAGACCTTTTAAGCTTCAATTCTTTTAAATGCTTGAAGAGATTTGATATGTATATGTGAATTTTTTTTTTTAAAGGTGAGTAAAATAGGTAATTATTTGCTTTACTTAGGGTATTAATTGTATCTTTTACAGGGTGAGCTTTTCAGGGGTTTAAAATTCAATTACAGGTTTTCGTTCAGTAAAGAAGTATAAACATTTCCTTTGGTGTGGGTACTGCTAGACATACTAGGGATACAGAGTTGAAAGACCCAGAGTGGACTACGTTGGTATTTGTTTTAGATTTTAAGAACTCTTTAAAAAATTCTTTGGTCCATTGTGATATATGAAGCTAAAGTAATTAGCTATTTAATGTTTAGCTGTTTTCCTCCTCAGCTGTAGATTGCATTTATAAAGAAAATTTGAAAAAGTTGTCTCCCTTTGGCAGGCAAAAGATGTGATTGAAGAGCATGGTCCTTCAGAAAAGGCAATAAATGGCCCAACTAGTGCTTCTGGCGATGAAATTTCTAAGCTACAGCGTACTCCAGGAGAAGAAAAGATTAATACCTTAAAAGAAGAAAATACTCAAGAAGCAGCAGTCCTGAATGGTGTTTCATAAACTGAAGAAGTTCCTAGTTTACAGTTCTTTTACATTTTACAATAGTGCTTGTACGAGCTTGCCAAAGATAGAATACGGATCGCCAGTCTTTACATCGCACTTTCAGTTCCTCCATTTGGAATTCAGAAAGGGGAGGGATCCTGAAGAAACCACATGTTAAACATACTTTGACACCTACTGTGTTATAAAATATATCATCAGATGTGCCTTGAGAATAGTATATGTAACATTAAAAAAAAAAGTTGCTGGCTATAGGAAATGTTATTTTGTTTTCAAAATATGGCAGAAATGGGGGGAGGGAAGTGGGTGGGATCCCTAACGTAATATTCTTTATGAAAGCATTAGCTGCTTTTGTTACATTTTTAATAATATGCAACCACTTCTTCACCTGAGGAAAACTAGAACGAAATGCAGTCTAAAATATTTTGCACTGAATTGTAATTTCTCCATTAGTTTAGTCTGGAAACTGGTCTGTTTTAATGTGTTTTTTAAATGCTGTATGTAGAGGAAACTCTGCAGACCACTGGAATACATTTGTTAAACTCTCATCTGCAGGGACACTGGGTGATATTGGCAGTGACTGTTCTACATTGAGGCTTTGTTTGGTTTATTTATTAAAGTGTACAGTATTTAAAAATCAAACATAGCTTTAGTTAAAACACTAAGCTGAATTAGTCATGTCCATTCAGACATAACCTGAACTACTGAAAAGATCAATTTCCAGAAGGTGTATTCTGTATAAACTACATGTTAGTCCTCAGTAGAGTATCTTTTTTTTCTTTTTCCTTTTTTTTTTTTTTTGATTTTGGTTGTTTGATGTGCAATATGTTTTTGTATGCAGGTAGTAAATAAACTTTGATCTTCCATTTGCTGATTTTTAACTTTCTACTTTTTACACTAATTGCTACAAGACAGTTGAAGCTACTTAAAGGCCTAGAATAGTACCCCTTTATTGCTTCTTAAAAAACATTTATATTTGCTAATAAATAGCATTCAAATATTTAGGAGACCATTTAATCATACTGTGATGAATCTTCTGAAGTCTTAACACTGTAAATATAGCCTGTTAGAATGGCTTGGTAATTAATCAGATATTTAATCATTATGGAGAAATCTATGTAAATAAAATAATAATCAAAGGCAATGAATATAAGCCAGAATTTTTTCTTTTGCCTTTCAGACTTTTATTAAAAAATGTAAAAAGAACTAATGAGCAAATTTAAAATAAGGAATAGGACACTAAATGCTTTTTCATTTGATTGTCAAGGAAATAATTCTGTTAAGGTTCTCATACCAATAATAATGATTAAAAATCAATCAGACCTTTTATGTATAAAGTTATTTTAGACAGCTTCATTTCAAACATTTTTTTCTACAGAGTAACAATGATATATAAGAACTAACTTAGTGCAACTACTTCTGAAGTCAAGTATTTGAGGATTTATGGGAGGGATTTACTCCACAAAAATGAGACCACTGAGCAAGAAAGCTCTTATTTGTCTTTGATGTTTGAAAAGTTTTGTGTGCATAATTATGTGTTCATTTGTTAAGTGCATAAAAATGTTGAGTGGTTTTAGTTACTTTACATGAACTAAAGAGAAGCCTAAAAGTATTGTTAAAAATGTAAAATTTACCAGGTTAGTATATTAATCCAAGCCCTTAAAATTTATTCCAGTTGAAGTTAAGATACTATTCCAGTTGAAGTTAAGATACGATGTTATTAAATATCTCTTCCTAAAATTGTCTCAGTGGCTCCACTGAGAATTTAAAAATACATACTTGCACTTTGCATGAAGATACTAAGTAATTGCATATATTGATTTTTAAAAATTTACCCACAAAGGATTTAAACATGACTTTGTAGCCATCAAAGTTAGAAACTTGGCCTTTTTATTCTTAGTTCTCATCCATAATTGGATTACAAATGATACATGTCCAAAGAATTCCCAAATTAGTAAGTATGCTGTAGAGAAAGTTGGTTTTCATTTTCCTCCGTAGAAGATTCAGAATCACTAAATCATTTTCACAAAGATTATTTTATGGGAAAGGAAGAAACACAAAACCAACTTAAAAAATGGGTATTGTCCAAGCAGTTCTTTAAAAAAGCATTAATTAATAACCATACTCTAGGAATTAACTATTAAGATGTCACTACAACCCAGTGTTTTGCTCTTTTAAGACTGTTTTTGTTGTGAATTAAACAGCATATGGTCACATTCAGAAGTATAGGTGAAAAGGTGTATTCCTGAAAGGTGACCATTGTTGATTGAGGAGGCTTCCACGCTTGGAAAGCATCTTTTTGACTGCCATCTTAGTTAAGGAAGATGTTGGTATGGGATAACTTTCCAATAAGTGAATCACTAAACAAAGACACTCAAAAAAAAAAAAAAAAATCTATTCTGAAAGGTCTTGTGCAGCTCAAAAATTGTTTAAGCATATACATGTGAAACCATATATGGAAGCTGACCTGAATCATGAAGTAGGAGTTGAGATCATGTAGGCACAAAAATGATCTTTCCTGAAACCTTGGGAGATAACAGGATTTTTGGGTTTGGAATGACCTTTTTGAAGCCACTGTTCATTCAATGGGCCTAAAACTGTACCACAAACTGGTGTGTCAGGTAAAGTACTATTGGTAAAATTACAGTAGGGATACACACAAATCTTATTTTCAGAGTTACATATTTGAATGTAAAGTTAGAGAAGTAACATACCAAACCAATGAGTTCATGGAAACTTATCTGGGGCATTGCTTAGGACAAGGCTGAGCAGGTTGCTTTTAAATGAATATATTAGAATACAGGTGATAATTTAAAAATACATGCAAGTGGGCAGATGCATTATAGTTAATGAAAAATATGTACACACACACACACACACAGCCCCTGGATGGTGCAAATGGTTAATGTGCTCAACTGGTGACCAAAAAGTTGGAAGTTCGAGTCCACTAAGAGGCACCTCATAAAAATGGCCTGGTGATGCCAAAAATCAGCCATTGGAAACCCTGTGAAGCACACTTTATGACCCATGGAGTCACTGTGAGTCAATCAACTGGAAGGTGATAAACACGGATAAAGCAAAAGAACTAAATAGGAAAACACTAAGCTAGTGGTCAATGAAAAGCTGCTGGAGGTTTTCTTTTGTACTTGAGGTCTCCATTCTTGGCAGCCATTCTTTATGCTAAGTCACACAAGTGATTTTGCAGTTGCTGTTTACAGTGTATCTAGTGTTTTGTAGCCTGAGAAGGGTTACTGTAAAGTTGGTATTGTAACTAAATGTTGGAGATAAATTGGGAGTATAGCGCCATTTGTGTTCCCTGCAGATCGATTAACCAATGAAACCCTGCCAATAAATGCTTTAAAAACAAAAAAATAGATTAATCTGATTCTGACCCACTTGGTGAAAAGCAGCATAAGTGATTTCCCAATTAATATTCTCACAGGCTGTGGCACGAGGAGCTTAATATCTCCCAAGGACAGATCAAAAACTGGCCGTAATGAAATAGGCCATGTCAGATTTTGGTGGTTGTGGAAGTGACAAATTATTTTCACAACTGGATTTCCTAGAATACTTTAGGGAACTTGGATTTAAACTGGAACTTACCAGTATACCGAGATTCCAAAAGGATTTGTTTTTTGCTGTTGGGGTTTGATGACTCTTTAATGGTTCCCTTTTTTGCGGGGGTGGTTTCCCAGGTATGCAGCGTAGAATTGCTCCATTAGGTTTTCAAGGCTGTGACCTTTCAATAGTAGATTGCCAGACCTGTCTTCCAGGGGTCTCTGGGTGGGTTTGAACCACCCACCTTTTGGTTAGTGATTGAGTGCTGAACTGTTTGCACCACTCAGGGACTTGATGAGTTGGAATCTACTCAACATCAACTACTAACAGTAACCCTCTTTTTGCTGACCCTTTATTTTTAAGTATCAGTTTTTAATTAAGATGTGTGGTTGACGGATTATGGTGTTCTATGACCCAGGATTAACCTATGATACTTGGCTTTAATTTCAGGAACTGTTGCAATAAACAGTAATTACAATCTGCTGTAGTCAAATTATTGGCAAGTGATGGTAACTCCAAACTGCACTCTTGCTGGCTGAAAGCAAGTCAGTAATGTTAGGGCAAAACCGTAGGACATTGCCAACAGTTGACTGACCCACAAAACTGGCAGTGTCCTATGGTTCAGCCTAATACACTTTACTTGCTCTAGAAATCCAGAAAGAATCCACTCAGAAAACCCCTAATTATTGGATGAGAAGGGCAAATGTGTAAGATGTATAAAAATTTTGTTTTCCAAAAAAGGTTATCAGTGAATCACCTTAAAGTCAGATTCCACCTCTATCTTTTATACTACTATTCCAAGAACTGAAATAAGGTGTATAAAAATGCTCTTGGAGAAACTATAATGCAATTTGATTTTTCCTCAGCTCATTTATTTCTTACTTTGACAGTTCATAAAGATGTAGTTAAAAGTATGAAATTGGGAGTCATTCTCCTAGTTCTGTTAACTTACTCCCTATGGTTTAATTTTCTTCTCTAACAGGGCTGGACTGGTTGAATATAAGGGCTCTTTAATATTAAAAGAACTTGAGTCCAGTCATGTGGGTCCTGAGTGATATTTAACCATATTCCCAAGCATTATCCATAAGGAGTATATGGAATTACAGTTGAGTTTCATATACACGTGTATGTGACCATCCCAACCATTTCAACTAGGCTCATGTAAAGATACCCAAAAACAAGGACAAATACTTATTTTTCACTAATTTGCCTCAGTTTTACAGCCTTATTATAATGCGTACTACTTAATAGCTCCTTGACTTTTTTTGTATTTCACATGATGTGTGATTTTTTTGGGTGAAATCATATAGATGTTACATGTTTTATATCCTTTTTACTTAATAGATTAATTATAAAATGCACCTCATTTTTAAGTTTGGAGGCCATATTAAACTTTTTTTTTTGTAGTTTTTCTAGGAAAAAAAAATTGTTGCTTGGAGCTTATACTTCAACCTGTTTCAACTTGCTGTTTCTATTCTAACCAACGTCATATAAACATGACAGCTGAAACAGCCCTTCAGTGTCAGCAAGTGTTAACAGGTTCCAGTATCACTGGGTGAGGAAGAATAGGTAACAGGATAGAAGCTCTTCCTATTCTGTTGCTAAGGCAACATTTGGCTATAGGTAGATCAATAGCACCCTGCATAACTCTGCAGCAACAAGCAGAGCTTGGATCATTTAAGTTTCCTGGGTATTCAAGGTTACTCTCAATCCAGGATTCTTTATAGATACTAAAAATCTATAGCATTCTAAATATTATTTGACATCAAATTTACAGATGTTTGTCATAATTCTAATTGACGTTTTTGAGTCAAGTTCTAAATTTTCATTGGAAATTATTAACATGGTCAACATTTTTAGGTCAATGTCAACAGAAATACCTTAAATGTTCTTAGTAGTTAAAGCTATGTAATTGTTGTAGCCTGATGTGTTAAAACTTAAAATTCAACTCATTCTTTGGTGAAGCATTCTGCAAGAGCGGATTTTATTTTTAAATATTTTTGATGTAAGGTTTTAAGGTAGGTCATGCTTTTCTGGTACACTGAATACTAATACAGCTTCCACAGCTTTTCAGTGTGGAGTAAGGGTTTTGCCCCGTGTTAATAATCTAGTTCTCTATTTTCTTCTCCAGTTCTCAATGGTTTTGCTTCATATTGCCTACTACCCTGCTTGCTTCTGTTTGTTGTAATTTAGAGTACACCAAATTAACAATGACAGAGAAAACCAGATAACCAAGCTTCTAGAATTAGCAGAGTATATAGGTATAGGCTTAAGCACTACCTGTTTTCACACAAAGATTATCAATTCTTCAGAGTTGGGCCTCATAAAATAGTAACCTGCAGAGCTAGACTACTGTCTTCATTTAAATTGTTTCTATAGGTATTCCCAACATTTGGAAAATATTTGAAGGCAAGAGAATTTGCTTAAAATTCCAGAGGATATTTAACTTTAGGACCACTCACTCTAGCCCATTTATTTTCATTACCAGCAAAGCCAGTTTTTATACCAGATTAAAGCAAAACACGTACTGCCACTGTGTTGATTCCACCTCTTAGCAACCCTGTACGGCAGACTAGAACTGCCCCATATTTTAAGGTGGTAAATTTTTAGGGAAGCAGACTGCTTTATTTCTCTCCCATGGAGTGGCTAGTGGGTTTAAACTGTGACCTTTTGGTTAGCACCCAAATGCTTTAATTACAGTACCACCAGAGCTCCTTATCACAGCTTAACAATTTATCTAATACTACCAACCCAAAAGCCCAATGGAGGCAAAAGGGAAAGGGCAAAGTAAGGAAACAAACTGGATCTAGTACTAAGGCTGTGGCTAGGTATGCCCCCAAACGTGTCTCCTGAATACTAACAATCAAATTACAAGTGAACAACATAGTGAACTGGAGGAGCTCTGGTAGCATAGTGCCTAAGGCACTTGACTGCTAACCAGAAGGCTGGCGGTTCAAACCCACCAGCCGCTCCTTGGAAGGAAGATAGGGCAATCTACTTCCATAGTGATACTGCCTCAGAAACCCAAGGAGGGGTCGCTATGAGTCTGGTCAGACTCGATGGCACATAACAGCAACAACATAGTGAAGTGGAGAAGATACCTGGGACTTAATTTTAGTTTCACTAGTTGAACAGCCTTGGAAACCATTTGCTATGTCCTTTAGTTTTCCTCTTCCATAAAATGTGGCAGCCATAATTATTAAAAGCTGCACCTCCTATTCCTTAGTATGGTGTTCAACCATACCCTCTATAAAGTATATTAAAAACACTAATAATCTTTGTAACAAGTGGTTAAAAAGATGTGTAATTAAAAGTACCGGAGTCACATCTTTAGGTTATCAGAACTGTGAAAGATGCCACAGTAGAGAGATTTATATTAAGAGTATGGAGCTGAGACAGACCAGGGTTAATTCTCATTCACCATGTAGCTTTGGGCAAGTTACTTAAGCTCCATAAACTTCACTTTCCTCACCTGTAAAATGTACATATCAATAGTAAGCAGATTTATTGAGACAAGGAAAGTGCTTGCACATTGGAAGTATTCAATAAATGACAGCATTACAGGTCTTTTTTTATTTTTTAAATATTAAAGGATGAATGCATTTTAAGATCATTCTGGCACTGGCATGTATTGCCCAATATGATCTAGAGCCCTCATTTTTTTCCCCAAGAAAAAGGTTATACCTTCAATGAAATATATGGATTCTGTGTTCTTGAAAAAGTGAGCCTAAAGAAAATAAAACTATGTGCTCTGCTATGCTCTTTTAGTATTAAAATGGTTTTTCATCATCTTACTGTCTTAAGTATTCTATTTGCATTAAATATGCACAAGTATTGACACTTATCAAATAATGTTTTTTTCTAGAATAAAAGATTTACCATATACAAAAGGCATGGCTGCCTTAGGCTGGTGCTTCATGATACTCTTCAATCATGACAGACTCGATCAGACAGATTAAATGGGACCATGATGTTAAATAAATCAAAACAGCAGATGAAACCCTTATCATCCATACTTTAAAATTCTCATAAGTACATCCCAACACCAGTATGATGACTCGACGGCAAATAACAACAACAACAACAACTATCTTTACCTCAAAATACCTTGTGTTCTCCATTAGTAATTGAAAATTTGTAAGATTTAAAGTTTAGATGGTAGTTAATGTAACTCGATCATTTTTGAGCTACACAATGTAAATATAAATAATCTTGGTGACCACAAATTGCAAATTTACCTCAGTTTTTATACAAGTCCTTGGCTAAGATATAGAACCCCTGGTGCCAAGGGGTTAGCAAGTGCTTAATCAAAAGGATGGTAGGTAGAACCCACCAACCACTTCTGAAGAGAAAGATGTGGCAGCTGGCTTCAACTTACAGCCTTGGAAACCCTATGGGGAAGTTAGAACTGTAGTGTCCTGTAGGGTCACTATGAGTTGGAATCAACTCTATGGCAGTGGGTTTGGTTTTCCAGACAAGGTTCTTATATTCTCTATACTTTCTTAGACCAACTGTAAGTTATTTGCCTTCAAATGTCATTTAAATTTATCAGTGTATAGGTTTTTAAGAGTCCATGGTGACTAATATTTTTATATAGAGGACATTAGTTTTCAGTTTTGATAATACACTCATACCACTTATTAACGTGCTTAGTTCCAAAAACCAGGTTGTTATGTGAAAACTGGTGTTATGTGAAAATAGAGGATGACTACATCATTACATAACTGCCAAACCACTGAGAACCATGGCCCAGCGAAGATGACACACACCCTTAACCATCACAGCCAGTGTTACTCTTGCTCCGTACATAGGTGTTCAATACTACCTGATGTATGTTGTCAATGTGCAAAGTAGTCGGATACATTTTTTTTTTTCTATTTGTAAAAGTACAGTGTTGGAAAATGAGGTAATTGTTAAGTGAGGAGTTGGTGTAGTTGGTAAGTTTGGTGATTACATCTGTAAAACTTCAATTATATCAAAAAATAACCAGTTAAAGGAACAATTTATAAATGGTCATATCTTGAAGAGGCTAGGTGAATACAATGTAAATACTTTTTTTGATTAAAACAGGACTTGTACTTTCAAGTGTTTTTTTTAGCATACTGTTGAGTTTTTAATGTATAAAGTTTGAGTTGTCAGTGATAATATACATACCTGGGTCAACTTCTTAGGTTGGAGTTATGGCTAAATGCAAGATTCCAAGTAGCTAGGCCTTTGCTTTTTACAGTGTTCTTCTTTGACCTCAAACAGCCTTTTCTTCCAGTGAGGTAAAAGTCCCTATTATAATGGCTTGTGCTAATTCTATAATTACATTTATCACATTGTGTTTGAAATTTATCTGCCAGTCTCTCATTAGACTGGAGGTTCCTTGAAAACAAAGACTGTCATGTTCACTTTTCATTGAGGAGTGCCTAATACACACAGGTACCAAATTATCTGCCAAATGAATAATACTTCTATCAAATGCTATGTATTTATCTATAAATAACAATCTCCATATATTCTAAGCTAGGCTATAATCATTTAAAATTCTCAAATTTAAACAAAAATATACCAAGGCTCTGATTTAGCGTGTGCTAAATCATTTTAAAAAAATCAGCTTTGAAGCATTTTATTATAAAAAGTCAGACTCATACATAAACTACTATGTACTTTAAAATTCATCATACATTTACTTCATTTTTTAGCTTGACCTTCTAGTAAATCTTTAGCTTCATTGATTTTGGCTGCTATATAAGGAGATCCTCCTACAGGAAGAAAGAAAAAAGGAATAGTTATCATAGGGATTCTCAGCTTCTGCTTGGTGAAGACCTATGCTTGTTTCAAGGATCCCTATACTTGTCTGCAAGGTCAAATTAGCAGAAATAATATTTGACCAACGTGAAATGAAGTGATTTACGTGAGGGTTTCTAAAAAAATTTGACAAGTTTTTCCAAAGTGTAAAAAATTAATCAAAATGGGATTTAAAAAACATGCTTATGTGCCTTGAAAACAGCGTAAGTTGACCTATTCACAGTGACTCCAAGTCATGAATAAACACTAATCATTATAGGACACTGTTTTAAAACCATTGTATTCTCAGTAGCTTCTAAACTGTTGGAAGTCTCCAATTCACTTAAAATAGTTTTACTGCCCTTCATAGTTTTTTTCTCTTATAAATTGTTCCTTAATGACACCACCTACTAATCTGCTTTCCTATTAGAGCAGTGATTTTTAAAGTGTGGTCCCCAGAGACAGGCAGGTAGTACCACACAGGGAAGCTAGGTAGAAAGGCAAAATTTATGGGCTTGCACCCTAGGCTTCCTGAATCAGAAGACTTCCAAGTAATTGTTCTTAAGTGCCGTGAAGTTGGCTCCAACTCACAGCGACCCTATGTACAACAGAACGAAACATTGCCCAGTCCTGAATATATCAGTGTTTTACTGCTATTCATAAGGTTTTCACTGGCTAATTCTTTGAGAAGTGGATGGCTCCTTCCTTCTTCCAAGTCTGTCTTAGTCTGGAAGCTCCACTGAAACCTGTCCACCATAGGTAACCCTGCTGGCATTTGAAACACTGGTGGCATAGCCTCCAGCCTCACAGCAACATGCAAGCCACCATAGTACGAGAAGCCACCACAGAGAGACAGGTAGTGGTTTCAAGTAACAGAAGCTAAAATTTGTATAAGAGGCTGAGAAGTCAGATTACCAAACAATTACAATCCTTTTTTAAACTGTCAAAAAACCCTCTTAATGAAAAGTTCTCTCCTATAGAGGTAAAAGGCTTTGACCATTGGAACATGGATTTTGTGGTGTGTATTTTGGCATTCAAATGAATTATTTGCTTTCTTTCAACACAAGAAAGCTGAAAAACCTAAGCTGCTTATAAATGTATCAGAAACTAGTAAGTGACATTGTGTAGGTTTCTAATCAAGTAGGCTTTAGTTCAAAGGTCTAAGAGATGGGGAAAAATTAAATTTTTAATTAAAAAATTTACCCCTTCACACATTTATGAAGATAAAAAACCATAGTAGCAGAGTTTATGATGATCAATATTATAAATCACATTTTATCAGAACTGCAGATCTCAAAATACTGTTAATGCTCATCACTGTTCCCAGATTATAATAAGTATCTGATCTGCTCATTACGCTAAATGAATTTTTCATTCAGTGTTTATTCTTTCAAGGCCCCAAAAACAAATGCATCCACTTGTGCAGGCAGTGCTCACACACATATTAGACACTTCCCTTATAAAGACCTAAGAGCTCTGGTAGCATAGTACCTAAGGCACTTGACTGCTAACCAGAATACTGGCGGTTCAAACCCACCAGCCACTCCTCAGAAGGAAGGTTGGGCAATCTACTTTCATAGTGATACTGCCTCAGAAACCCAAGGAGGGGTCGCTATGAGTCAGATCCAACTCGACAGCATATAACAACAACTTATAAAGACCACCAAGAATTATGTATGACATCATTCCATTAATAACAATCACTCACTTCAACAACATGTGTAACGAGTTTTTAATGACTACTTACCCTTGTCTGGGTGATTTAAGAGCATAATTCGTCGATGAGCATCTCTGATTTTTCCTTTATTGGCAGTAGGACTAATTAGAAAAAAGGAAAGATACGGTTTACTTTAATCTATTTGTGATTAAAAAAAAAAGTTTGTAAGACCACTTAAAAAATACTATGAAACTGTAATTAAGTCAACACATGACAGTAAAAGTTGCTTAGGAACCTCTTCCCTATCACACTAGGAGGATGAATCTTATTAGAACTAACTGCCCCTTAGAAAAGTAACCCACTGCCACAGAGTCGTTTCCAACTCATAGTGACCCTACAAGACAGACACTGCCCCATCAGGTTTCTAAGGCTGTAAATCATTATGCAAGCAGACTATCTCATCTTTCTTCCATGGAGTAGCTGGTACGTTTTGAACTACTGACCTTTTGGTTAGCAGCTGAATGCTTTACCCACTATACCACCAGAGCTCCTTTAGAAAAGTAACCCATTCTTAAAAATTTACTTGAACTTGAATATTCATTACAACGGACCTTTCCTGGAAAAGGTAGAATTTCCCCACAGAGTATGTTAATCAGTTGCAGAGAATATTGAAACTGATTATGTATTAGGAGCTCTATTGATGTATTTATGAATATATGAAAAAGTGCTATGCCTTCTCTTTTGACTTTTGTAGGAAATAGGTAAATCTTTAAAATGTATATGAAAGGAAAGAGCAGTGTAGGTGCCATTTGACTAGAATTGATAATACCAATCTTCTTGGAGTAACACTTCTCCATTAACTCTCTCTAATTAAGGAGAGAAGGTCTTTTCTTACATTTCCTCTTATCTCTAGTGTTGTAGAAAATATTGAAAACATTAGGGATTATTATACCTTACACCCAGTATTAATGCTGCTTCCCGTTTTGTCATTTTGGGTTCAAATCCACCTCTGTAATAGCCACCACTGAAGGCCTGAAAGAAATGCATTAGTAAGAAAAGATTAATAACTGAAAAGTTGCCAAGAAAATGTTTGTAAATGTTTATAGAACAGAAAAGTCATTTCAGACAACTAAATGCAATTTTATCTTTACAAGCAATAATAAATTATGGGAGAAAGATGAGACAGTCTGCTTGCATAATGATTTACAACCTTAGTAACAAATTATAACGTCATTAAATAGATCTATTTTTTCTAGACAACTTAAACTGTCTTGGAAATGTAAGCCAAATGAATAATGACTCAAATCCAGTTCTTTTGGGAGCAAAAGAAAGATTATTCCAAGTTAGCCATGGTCTAGGTAAAAATTTGATCTCATAACATGAGAAAATGTTTTAAAACAAGTGCCTCAAGAAGAGTATTTAGAGGTCTCCTGGGACAAGTGGCTCAAAGGTATTATGAGGCTTCAGGAAACTAATAAAACACAGCTAGGTGAGCAGATCCTCTGATCTTGTTATGTCAAGAATCTACTGGGAAAGCCTACCACCATCCTATTCTGTCAAATTTGATTGTACACAAAAATATATACTCAACAATATATATACAACAAGCTGTCACAGCCAATTTCATCCTGAACTGTGACCAAAGAAGGTACTATATGGCGTGGTCATCACATCTGGTCGTACCGTACAGCCTAATGTTAATTATAAGAATCAAGTTAGGAAGTGCCAAGGCCACATGATAAGAACAGATCACTTTAGATCCCTGTGCTTATAATGCAAAGAAGAAGAGCAAGATTGTGAACAGAGAATGATGTTAGAGTTAACAGTATGTGAGCAATAAAGTAATAATGTCACTTGGTACCAGAATTGTTAGCAAGCCTTCCCCCAAACACTCATATAACATTGGACTTTTGAGGGTAGTATTATTACAAGAGGAACTCTGGTGGCATAGTTGTTAAAAGCATTCAGCTGCTAACCAAAAGGTCAGTAGTTTGAACCTACCAGCTGATGAGACAGTCTGCTTCCATAAAGATTTACAGCTTTGGAAAATCTATGAGGCAGTTCTATTCTGTCCCTTAGGGTCATATGAGTTGGAATAGACACAATGGCAGTGGGGGGTTTTGGGGTTTTTGTTTTTTTTTCAATCATTACAAAGCTCAGAAGTTCTAAAGCATTCTTGTGAAAAGAGTGAGAAGGGGCCCAAAGGACCGAATTTCATAGATGCTTGGAAATTTGCCCTATTGAGCAAACAATTAGCAAAAAAGACTTACAGATTTTGGCAGACTTTGAAAAACTTGTTTTACTTGAGGCTCCACATGCTTCATGGCTTGTAAAACATAACGGCCTAAAACAAAAGGAAAATTTTAAATATATAAACAAATTCCCAATCTCACCTACTTCACCTCCACTCCCAAAGCATAAACAAACCTGCAAATCCTGCAGCCGCAATGGTCAGTCCAACTGCTACCACTGTACTGGCCTGGTAAAGGGAAGAAGAATAAATACTTACTTCTCCCAATTCCCATATTTACTATCATGCCCATTCTCCCATCCCCAATTCATTACAAGTTTCAGTTCAATGGGAGAAATGAAAATGTTCTGCCTGATGGTAGCACCTTAGTTTTATTTTGTTTTTCTATCAGTGGTGTACCCACCAGCCCCCCTCGGAAGGAAGGTTGGGCAATCTACTTCCGTAGTGATACCACCTCGGAAACCCAAGAAGCCGCTGTGAGTCGGATCCGACGGGACGGCAGTGCGGTTTTTTTTTTTTTTTCCCCCTTTTGGTTTAACTAGGGTACTGGTTTTTCTGACCGCTTTTGGCACCTTCTCGCCTCAAGAGAACAGAGAAACAGGAGAAAAGCCCAAACACGTTCAGGATCCCAGAGAAGAGCTCTATGTCAGGTAGAGGCAGAGAAGGAAGAGGCGCAGAGCAAGAACTGCGAGGGCGTTGGGGTGAAGGGCAGGTAGAATCGAGTGCATTTGCCCTCATCTCAATCCCTGGCAGCGGCTGACCTTAACCGGCTGCGAGGGTAGCAATGCCTTCGCTCCCAGAACCCCAAAGACGGCGGGCCAGCGACGAAAGACCTTTTCAGAGGCGGGTAAGAAGACAAAGGCCCGGGTAGGGTGCGCCAACAGCTTTGGGCCTCGAGGTTTTGACGTCCCGGGTCTCTCAACTCCTTGCCTACTCCCGCACTAGGGAGCACCTCAGTTCTTTGCTCCGAGGCCGGGTGCTGGATTGAGGGCAGGCCCGAGGTCGCCCAGAAGGTCGGAAGCCGCACTCACCATGGCTCTGGCTCGGCTGCCCTATCTCCACTGGGAGCGCGGTTCATCCCAGTCCAGAGGCCGCAGCCACCCACTCCACGCCTCTACTGAAAAGGGACGCAGCCAACACCGTCAGGTACACACTGCCAGAGTACCAACCTCTCAAGGAAAAAGGCAGTGGGCCGACGCAAAGCTAGCCGGAAAACTGTCGTAAAAGGGGACAGAGGAGCGGGGAAAGGTCGCTCAAGTAGTGGGCGGGAGGAGAACACGACTTCGGATTGGTTGGTGAGTGGGCGGCTCGCCTTCTCACTGGGCTAGGTGCCTTCTCCAGTTGGGCGCCCCTCCTTTTCTCCACCTTGCTCCGGAGCCGAGGGCTTTTGGAATTCTTGCAAGAGAGGCTATGGCTGGAGAAGATACTGTGCAGTGTTACATCAATTTTCACATCTCTCAGCACCTTGCCTTCCATTTATTTCGTTTATAATTGTCCAAAAAGACCATTAAAAAAAGAAAAAGAAAAAGCCGTTGTTGAGGAGTCCAGTCAGACTCATGGCGACCCCGTGTGTTACAGAGAACTATTCCATAGGGTTTTCTGTGATCCTTAAAGAAGAAGATCGCCAAGCCTTTCTTCTGCAGTGTCGCTGGGTATGTTCAGACTGTCAACTTTTCTGTTAGCCCAGCGCAAACCGTTTGCACCACCTGTTGTTGTTGTTATGTACCGTCCAGTCGGCCCCGACTCATAGCGACCCCTCCTTGGGTTTCCGAGGCAGTATCACTACGGAAGTAGGATTGCCCAACCTTCCTTCCGAGGAGTGCCTGGAGGGTTTGAACCGCCAGCCTTCTGGTTAGCAGTCAAGTGCTTTAGCCACTATGCTACCAGAGCTCCTTTGCACCACCTAGGGACCTTCTTATAATGAGCATCCCTGTATATTTATACAGTACCAGGTTGCACCAAGAAGCCAAACAAATGTATAGCAACAGAGTACATAACCTGCCTGTATCCTTATATTTAAAGTGGATTTCTTGTAGGCAGCGTACAGTATATCGAACCCACTGCTATCCGGTTGATTGTGACTCACAGACTATAAACAAACAAAAAAACCACTGCTATTAAGTAGATTCCTAGGCATAACGACCCCCATTGGTTTCCCGAGGTGGTAAATCGTTGTGGATGTAGATTGTCCTGTCTTACTTCCGCAGGGTGGCTGGTGGGTTTGAACTGCCAACCTTCTTTCTGGTTAGCAGTCAGTTGCCTTAGGCACTGCAGCACCAGAGTTCCTTCATAGACCCTGTAGGATAGAGTATAATTGCCCCATAGTGTTTCTAAGGCTGTAAATTCTTACAGAAGATGACTGCTTCATCTTCTTCTGGGGATAAGCTGGTGGGTCAAAACCACAGACCTTTTGGTTAGCAGCCAAATGCCTTAATCACCACACTACCAGAAGTTTTTACATAAAACATAGTAAAGGTAAAGATGAGCACAGGGAAGCGTATTTTAGTGATTGTTTGGTAGTGTCTTTTATTTAAAGTAATTTTATTTAATACGTGGCTTGACAGAACCTTGTGTGAATGTTTTGGTTTTCGGTTTTAGGATGAGAGTACCCCTCCAAAATCTATTATGATTATGGGATTTTGGAATTCTCACAACTGAAAAATGCTATTTAAAATGTGTCCTCCTCATCTCAAAATAAGAAGTAGGGTTTGCTTTTTGCTTCTACAGGTCGTCGGTTTTCTATATTGCTACCTAAATGCTTGAACAGATAAATGGAGACAGTAATAGAAGTTTTAGAATATGATACTTGGATCATCAACTCAAACTGCCAATAGTGCTTCAACTCTCAAATACAAAACTTAGGGACTTACTTCTCTCTCAGAACCTACAAAGTATTAGAAATCTGTTTACTTTGCAGAGAAATTCTTTGATATCAGAGTTAGTTTGGTAAACTTTCCTAAGGCTACTATGACAAAATATTGTTTCAGGGTGGTTTGAAACAACCGAAATTCGTTGCTGTTATGTGCCATTTAGTCAGACCCGACCCATAGCGACCCCTCCTTGGTTTTCCAAGGTAGTATTACTATGGAAGTAGATTACCCAACCTTCCTTCCGAGGAGTGGCAAACGCCAGCCTTCTGGTTATCGGTCAAGTGCCTTAGGCACTACACTACTAGAGCTCCCAACCAAAATTTGCAGGCTATAAATTCTTACAGAAGCTGACTCCCTCATCTTTCTTCATTTGCACACAGTTTTAGAGGCTGGGTGTCTGAGATCAGGATGTCGTCTGTGTTGATTCCTTCTGAGGCTTTGAGTGACAATGATTAATACATGCTTCTCTCCTAGCTTCTGGTAGCTCCGGGCATCTCTTGTCTTGCAGCTACAACATCACATGGTGTCCTTTCTCTGTCTTTCTGTCTCTGTGTATCTTCTCTTTTATAAGGAAACCAGTTATACAGGATTGGGGCCCATACCCTACTGCAGTGCAACCTCATGTTAACCTAACTGGTGACATCGTCAAAGATTTTATTTCCAAACAATGTCACATTCATAGGTCAACATATCTTCTGAAGTGAGGACTTCACCATGTCTTTTGGAGGGATACAATTCAATCCATAATAACTAGTTATTAGACAAATATCACATTTGTTGACTTTGTTTCTTAACTTTTTTTTTTTGTAGCACACAAAAAGATCCTGCATTTGAATTTCCAAGGGCTCTTCTAGTTCTAAGATTTTTTGTGATGTAATTTATTGTCAACAAGTAATTTAAGGTGACACTTAAGCATTAAGTGGATAGTTCATCTTTTGCCTCTCTTTCACTTAACTTTTCTTAAACAACCACAAAAGAAAGCAATTACAATGATGTGAAGAATGTAATCAATGCCACTGAATTATAATATGTGGAACTTGTTGAATTGACCAATGTTTTGTCGTATATGTTTTCATAATCATCATCATCATCATAAAAGAAAATCCATTAAATAAATCAGGCATAAGACTATGGGCCCAAATGGACCAGTAACAATCTAAAATGCTGCCTGAAATAACTTGTTGTGCATATTTTCAGTATGTACAAACTATGGGATAAAGTTTTCTTGAGAAACAGGTACCTTACAGAAGTACAGCCTCAGGGAATTGGGATTGGGCAACACATTGAGGCACTTCGTTGAAGTGGAGCTAACTGTTTTAGAGGAAGATCAAGCTAGATGTACAATCTGATTCTGTCGCTTACTAGTTGTGTGACTTTGAGCCATATCTCCAATTCTGAATTTCCTCATTTGCAAAACAAGGATAATGATAGTTACCTTGCTGAATTGCTGTGAAGAGTAAAGATTATGTACAGGGTAGTCTGCTTATGTACAGTGTATTAATGATCATTCAGTTGACTGAACAGGGGCTATTTAGAGATTTATTTAAAGATCTTTGAGGGAGGGATCATGATTACCTTCCCGCATTTGTTCCAATTTATTTCCTGTCATGTGTACAAGGCCTGGCAGTTCAATGCCTGTGGAAGTACCATTCGTTGGAGACAGAAGTGGTAATAGGTATATTGTCCTCCTTTGCTCATTGTATTGGATTCTAGGGTTGCACATAGAGACCTAGCAGGCCTGGTATGTAGACTCTAATGGAGTACCTTGACTCTTATGCTGTGGGGCTTTTATGCATTATGATTAGATAAGCATCAGCCCTTCCCCTGGTGTGGTCAGGGGTCAGGATTCAATAGCAATATGACAAAGTAAAGCCTCAGTTCCAGCCTTGTTCTGCTAGTTGGGCATTTGTCATTGGGAATAGGAAGCACTAGTCCCTTCCCAGCTATGATCAAGCCTCATGGTTGCCTTATCTGAAAAATATTCATGTAATCTAAGATGTATGTATCTCTCTTGTAACCATGACAGCAACTAACACAATTAGTCAGATGATTAAAGCCAAATGCTGTATCAATTAATCAATTAGCCCCAAGTCACAGGGGCTTAACATGGTAGAAGTTTATTTCTCAGTTGTGTCATAGTCCACTTTGGGTCAGGTGACTCTCCTAGTAGATTTCCTCCAAACAGTGAGTCAGGGATACAGATTAGATCCATTTTCTGGCTTCACTATCTTAGAATCCTCTGCTTATCACCATTGGTTGAATCCCAAATACGTAATCTCAATTTAACTGCAAAGGAAGCTGGGCAATATAATTTTGTTTTGTGCACAGAAGGAGAAAATGGGACTGGACAGGATCTAGCCCACCACTATCCAATATAACTTTGTAATGATGGAAACATTCCTTATTTATGCTGTCTAGTAGAGTTACCACTATTAACATTTAGCCTTCAAACATTTAAATGTGGCTAGTATGACTCAAAACCTGAATTTTAAATTTTATTTAATTTTTATTTCAATCTAAATAGCCACACAGGCTTTGTTGTTGTTGTTGTTGTTAGGTGCCATCAAATCGGCTTTGACTCATAGAGACCTTATGTGGAACACAATGAAATGCTGCCCCGGTCATGCTCCATCCTCACCATCCCTGCTATACTTGAGCCCATCATTGTAGCAACTGTCAATCCATCTCGTTGAGGGTCTTCCCCTTTTTTTTGCTGACCCTTCACTTTACCAAGCATGACACCCTTCTTCAGGGAGTGGTCCTTTCTGACAACATGGCCAAAGTAGGTGAAATGAAGTCTGGCCATTCTTGCTTCCTATGAGCATTCTGGCTGCACATCTTCTAGGACAGATTTGTTTGTTCTTCTGGCAGTCCGTGGTATTTTCAGTATTCTTCCCCAATACCACAATTCAAAGTCAGCAGTTCTTCGGTCTATCTTGTTCATTGTCTTACTTTCATATGCATAAGAGGCAATTGAAAATACCATGGGTTGGGTTAGACACACCTTAGTCTTCAAAGTGACATCTTTGCTACTTACCATTTTAAAGAGGTCTTTTGCAGCAGATTTGCCCAGCACAATTTGACATCTTATTTCTTGACTGCTGCTTCCATGGGTGTTGATTGTGGATCTAAGTAAAATGAAATCCCTGACAACTTCAATCTTTCTCATTTCTCGTGATGTTGTTTATTGGTCCAGTTGTGAGGATTTGTTTTCTTTATATTGAGGTGTAATACATACTGAAGACTATAGTCTTTGATCTTCATCAGTAAGTGCTTCAAGT